TGGGATTAAGTTTTCATCTTTCCCTGCGCATAATTAGATTCCCGAATCTTTAATCCATAATTTTAAAGACTAGTTTGCAATAAAAAGTTTTTCAATTTTTACAAAGTAAATAAAATTAGTGGTGACTCCATTGTTTTTGATTTTTAATTTCGGGTCGTTACACACGTAATGTCATCGAACAATGCAGTTACAAGAATGTATATGTATAGGTATATATGTGCGAAGTATAATTCTGTAATACAATGTCTAAATATGATTCAATAAAAATAGGAAACAAACTTCTTCGAAGATTATTGTAAGATTTTTTTTTTTAAGATATAACTTCTACAACCTTTAGATAACAAAATATTTATACACCCTATGGATAATTTCAAAAGAGATTAAGTGCAGTGAAATTCATTATCTATTCAGTCTCTTCAGTACTTGAAAACTAACATGTATAGAAAAGTAAATATACTCAATTAATTTCCCAGAGCACAGATCAATAGATCAAACTATAAGGCTTCAACTTTACAGAATATAGTTTCACTAGTTAAAAGTACGAAAACATACGTTCTTATAGAACACTTTCACCTTAAACACGTGGATATATCAAATTGTTAAATTAATAGCAAGATGCAAACTTCACAAGCCAAAAGATGATTGGCCATACACAGCAGGAAGCTATCAAAATAATTATATAGCACTCAAAAGAAGCTTAGCTAGACTCAACTTATTAAAAGCAATAGACATCAAAACAATAAGTCATATGGTGATGTAGATGAATAAATCTTTGGTACTACTGCTGTACCTAGATTCAATGCATTCCATGAATGAGAGCTTTACACATCAGAGGAAAGAGAAAAAATTTAACAGAAAAAAAGTATTTTAGCTGACATGTAATATTTTCATTAATGGGATGCACTGAATCTTTGATACAAGAGTAGTACCAAAGATTTATTTGATGTAGACACCCTTTTTAATCATATCATGCTATTCGACGACCTGCTCATCTAATTTCTACAACATACACTAATCCTAACACCAAACAGTCATTTATGCAATAGTCTTTCACTCTCATTTTTAATGGAAAAGATTGGCCATTTAGTGGCTGAGTTTTCCAAATCTTAGTAGAGAAGCAAAGGGAGAATATGTGATTTTCTAGTGAAAATCTAATTAAAAATTCAAAAAAATATTATCATAAAAAGCATGTGCTTATGTTATTGCCATACATATTTTAGTGAGGGAAGAAATAAATAGCATGTTACCATACTTTGAAGAAAGATAACGAAAAGTAAAGATGAAATACGATTAGAAATTTACAATGAAGTTGGAGTTAAGTTAAAGATGAGGAAAAAGAAAGAATACTCAGCTTAATGGAGTAACCGTCAACACCCATCTAGTATGGGTATTTTGGATGCACATATGGAGACCAAAACTCATAAGGCTGAAGATCAGCTCAGCTTCCGGATTTGATATTGTCATTGGCCAATGATCCCGGTTGTGTGGCAGGTGGGAATCAAATTTAAGATTCTCACCGACGGCGCTAGATGTTCAGAGGTGAACATTAATGTCCAATGATTGTGCTGGTAATTGTTTTTATGGAGCGAGTGGAAGATATAGCAATGATAATCTGGACACTAGTGTGAATTCTATGGCTATCATGCCAAGCCTTGTAAGTATTGAGATATGTTATGAGATGATCCACTTATTAGCTATATGGGTCATTTATAGATGAAGTGCACTAGGAGATTGTGCATATTGTGGGCAGTTTAGTAGGTGATTTGGTGGTGTCATATAATGCTTAGTGGGTAGTTATTTATAGTGGATGAAAGTTGAGAGAAAGTGATGGAGTGAAATGCTTAGTGCATGTCATGTAACGGGGTAGAAAGTGGAGACGATTTAATTGGTCCATAACAGAATATATTCTAATACTTTAGATTGAGATATCTTAAATAGCTCAAATAAATTGCATCTTAATTGTAAAACTCTGAAAATTGTTATTCTAACCGAACTTAATTTTAAGTCAAAAGTATATGTTTCAAATTATAACTAGATAATAACTCTCTTATTGATATAAAAAAAATAGGAAAGTATAATTTGGAAGTTATTAGACATATTTTTAATTAATAAGCATATAGCTAAAAATTAAACCCTTAAAATAACTTAATACATTTGTTCAAACCTTACTTTAAAATTATTCGAATATGCTATTTTCTCTTTGTATGTGTTTAGAAATAAAGACTTTATATTTTTTATTAACAACAAAACCTGCAAATTTTAACACTAAATATATTTTTTAAAATTATCATAATTTCCAAAAAAAGAACTGTACAAGACTTTTGTTTAAAAAGAATAGAAGAATTTTTTTAAAAAATGGACTTCAACTAAAATGAATTAATTTTTTTAAAAAATTAAAAACCTTTCATTTTTTTAAATTTCACTAAAAAAGATTAAGCTTTCAAACAAAATCCAACATTTTAAATAAAATAAAATGTAATAGAATCAAACTTTTAAAATTTTAAAATTAATAATTTTTTAAATAATTTTTTAGTTTAAATTGGAAATTACTTCTTAAAAAATATTTTTTTATTACAATTATTTTTATTCTTTAATTTCAAAAATATTTTTCCAGTTAAAATCAAAATGAAGAAAAATGTTATAGGAAATAGAATTTTTAAAATACTTTGATTTTTTTAAACCCTTATAGGAGATAACTTTATTTCATATTAAAAAAATTTAATTCATTTAAAAACATTAAAATGATTTTATTGCACTTAGGGGAGTGTATTGAATTAAGATTTTAAAATATTGTTTTGAGATAAAAAATCTTATAGATTTTAAAAGACTATTCATAATTGGAAGGACTTTATAGACTTTTTTAAATAATTTTTTTTACTATCAAACTTTCATAAGATTGTCTATTAAAAGATTTTAATAGAATTTATAAGATTTAAAAAGATAATATGGATTTGCAAGATTTTAAAAAATAATATGAATTTTTAACAAATATTCAAAATTAGAAGAGTCAATAAAAGATATAACAAAGAAATGCAATGATAATAATAAAAAAGAAAATCATAATATAATTTACTTAATCAGTAAAATTCATGATAAAATTTCATACAAAAAAAAATTCATGACAAAATTTCGTTTGAAATTTTTTGCAATTAATCTTGTAAACCTTGAGGTTTTTTGGTTCTATGTGATGAGAGTTTTCTAATCATATATCATATGCATGTTTTTATTGAGTATTCCAAGAAAATTTTGAATCAGAATTTTTGGGTTTTATTACATGAAAATTTTAAAAAATTCTCAAATTATTTTCAATCTATACATTGAAATCTTAAATTGTTTTGAGGCTTTTGAAAACCAAGTTTTTAGTGATCTATTGACACAAAATTTGTTTGAAATCGTCTTCTATAGCGAAGGAATTTCGTTTATGAATTTATTGTTATGAAACATATGATTCATATTATGAAAGTTTCAATCTTTATTTAAATCGATGTTGTTTCAGTGATGTAAAACGAAAAATGGTTTGAGACTTTTTGTTCTCATGTTGTTTTCCCACTATTTTATATTGTTTTTAGTACAAAAATACACATTTTCGTGTCAAGAAAAATCACAACCAATAGTTTGAATTTTTTTTTAAACATCCAATTTTTTTCAAAAAAGGGCTAAAAAATCAACTATTTTTTTGCTTGATCAGATTAAAATCTTGCTGGGTCATTGTTTATGGGTTGTTTTGTGATAAAAATATCTCAAAAATATATTATTTTTGAACTTTGACGAAACTCCAATGGCGAAATTCGATTTTGACTGGGTTGATCCGCTAAGGAAAGAAGAAGATAAATGTAATAGAGAAATATCAAGAAATCCTAGGAGTTCAGATGATATTGTGAGAGAGACATTCTATTTATATTTCTTACTAAAAAGTCTCACGAAGTTTACACCAATAGAAAATTTATTAAAATCGTCATATTTTTTAATACGTTAAGATTAGGGGTGTCAATATAGGTTTTGACACGCGGGTCGACCCGCAAAAAAATTCGTATTGTGTTCGTGTTGAAAAAATGACACGTAAAAAATTCGTGTCATGTTCGTGTTGATATATTCGTGTTCATGTCGACCCGTAATTTTTTTAAATTATTTTATTTTTAATTTTTTATTATTATTTTTTTAATTTTTTTAATTTTTTTAATTTTTTTAATATCGATTCATTTTTTTAATTTTTTTTGGTCAATTACCATTTTAATCCCTATTTTGCGTGTTATTCGTGTTGTGTCGTGTCAACCCGGAAAAAATTCGTGTCGTGTCAATGTTGAAAATGTTGACACGAATAAGTGTTGATGTATTCGTATCGTGTCAATCCACAAAAAATTCGTATCGTGTCAGTGTTAAAAATTTTGACACGAATAAACATTCGTGTCGTGTTAGTGTTGATGTATTCGTGTCGTGTCAAATTCGTGACGTGTCAACTCATTTTGACACCCCTAGTTAAGATTGTTTTTTCTTTTAAAACCCTAATTGAATATGAACGGGTTTGGACGGACACTAAAATAATATCTTGAAATCCTAATCGAATACCAAATGATTTTTTTTTCAATCTTTTATAATCCTAATTGAATATTAATGAATTTTTTTATCCAAAAATAATTCATTAAAATCTTCTAATATTCCAATCCAATACACCATCTTATTCTCAATTTATTACATTAATTTTTGTTACAAAATTTTAAATTTTCCAGAAATCATTACCAATTGGGCTTTATTTAATTGTCATTATCAAAATTTGTGTGGGACCCGATGAATCAATCCACGGTCGAAATTACGGGTACAACTAATGGCTAAAACATCGAATGTAGTCTAACTTTTTCTCCCCGCTATAAATCTGCATCAACCTTAGCGTACTATAGTACACACTTACAGTCAGTCTCTCGCAGGAACGCGGTGAATCGGTGATCGCATTTACTCTTTTGTGCTCTGTTGAGGAGACCAGCGTCGCTAGGTTTCCGGCGAGGATGGGTGCGACGTTGCTGTCGGAGCTTGCGACGGAGATAGTGGTGCCGGTGTGCGCCGTGGTGGGTATTGTGTTCTCGTTGGTTCAGTGGCACTTGGTGTCGCGCGTAAAGGTCACGCCCGAGCACAATGGACCCTCGTCTTCACCCACGAAGAATGGATACGGGGACTCCCTGATTGAAGAAGAAGAGGGCATCAACGACCACAACGTCGTCATCAAATGCGCTGAGATACAAAACGCAATCTCCGAAGGTGAGCTTTGTCGTCGTTTAGATCTATCTGTTATCTGCTTCCGTTTTCTCTTTTTTCAAAAAAATCCACCCTTCCATTGTTATTACTAATGTGTCCTGACGGTGAGAGAGAGAGAGAAATGGTGAAAAATAATAGTAACAATTAACATTGAAAAACGAGAGCTAACGATTGTTTCTTTGGCATCGTTCATTGGGGTTTGTGATTTAATCATGAATTTGAAATATAATGAAGACGAATGCATAAAGCTTCTGGCTTTGTTATCCATTTTCTAATTTTATTCACTATTATTTGAGTACAGAGCTTTTGGAGGCAATAAATTTTTATTCCTTGTTTGAGATCATTTTCTTCCTTTTAATTTTCGATTTAATCACTTTATTTGCGGTCTTTGGTGTTGTCATGATTCATATTCTATTCCTGAATTATTGGGCTTGGATGCTACTAACGATTATTATTAATACGTAATTATGATCTCCTATGTAAGAGATTTAGTGCTATGTATTCATGTGCACGGCACGTGATCCATACTTTTGGGTACGTCATCTATATCTAAATAAATTTAATTTAATTTTTTTTTATGTATTTTTGTTCGTGTTGTCTTCTACGTTATTATTATTACTCTTTTTTTTTAATTACTAGGATTAAGCGGTTATGTAGTTTTAATTACATATTTTCAATAATATTAGGAGCATCGGACATATTGTTGTTACGTGCTTGTAACTTGTAAGTACGTGTTTAAGTGTTAACATGTTATTATCAATCAATATTATATAAAATTTAATAAATTATGCCACACATCCTGTGCTGCTGAGGCTCGGCAATTTCTTTAGTAACGCTTGATTTCACATTGAAAAATGTTTTGCTTGGAACAATTACGGAACTCCGTGCTAGTACTAGTAAATTCTGCGCATGTCCTGTTGGATGGTTCACAATTATAACCTAAGATGAAAATTTTCTAGGTGCTTCGAATTTATTGAAATCCTTTACCTTTATACGTACAGTGGGTTGTTTGACATGGTCTATGAGTAGTTCTTATTCCGTAATAAAAAAATTTCGTCAATTCTTGAGTTCAGAATCAACATCAACATCAACAACACCTTTATCTCAAATTAATTGGGGTCGGTGGTAGATGAACCCACATGAAAGATACAAAACGGTTGAAAAAAAAGTAAAAATATAAAAATATAAAAAATATAAAAAATAAAAATAAAAATAAAAAATAAAAAAATAAATAAAAAAATTAATAAATAAATAAATAAAAATACACAAATAAAATAATAAAATAAAATAAAATAAATTAAAATAAAATAAAATAAAAAATATATGTATATATAAATAAATAAAAGTAAAAAAGAAATGGACAAGAAGAAGTGGGGGAAATGAAGGGGAAAAAGACTAAAAAGGGACCATTTGGAACATAGGAATAACAGCGGGTCTAACCCTCCACCATACTTATAGCTTTTCTCCATTCCTTTCTAAGACATACTGTCCGCCAATCTATATCTCACTCCATTAAATCTTGTTTTAATACTTTCCCCCAAGTAAGCTTCGGCCTACCTCTGCCTCTTTTTGTGTTTAGCTTTTGGTAACAAACTTCTGTTCTTACAGTAGCATCCATGGGTCTTCTCATCACGTGCCCAAACCACCTCAATCTATGTTCTCTCATCTTCTCGGCTACCGGTACTACTCCGACCTTTCGTCGAATATCTTCATTTCTTATCTTATCCATCCTTGTGTAACCACACATCCACCTTAACATCCTCATCTCTGCTACTCCTATCTTATGCTCATGTTGCCTATGTGCTGGCCAGCATTCCGCTCCATATAGCATTGCCGGTCGTACTGCCGTTTTATAGAATTTTCCTTTTAACTTCAGGGGAATTTTGCGGTCACACAAAAATGCAGATGCACTACGCCATTTCATCCACCCTGCTCTGATTCTGTGATTTACATCCTCATCAATCTCTCCACCGTTTTGTAAAATGGAGCCCAAGTATTTAAAAGCATTTTTTTTGGGTACCTCTTGGCCATTTAGATGCACAGGTTCTTGGTCCTCATCTTGTACCAGAGAAAACTCACACTTCAGATACTCAGTCTTGCTTCGACTTAATGTGAATCCTCTGGATTCCAATGTGCTTCTCCACAATTCAAGTTTTCTATTAACACCCTCCTTGCTCTCATCAATAAGCACAATATCGTCTGCAAAAAGCATACACCATGGCACTTCCTCTTGAATATCTTTTGTTAGTTCATCCATAACTAAGGCAAAGAGGTAAGGACTTAGAGCCGACCCTTGGTGTACACCTACCGTGATAGGAAAATAACTTGATGATCCGTTACAAGCTTTTACACATGTAGTAGCCCCATCATACATATCCTTGATTGCCTTTACATACTTTAATGGAACCTTTTTCTTCTCCAGGACCCACCATAAAACTTTCCTTGGAACATGCTTTCTCAAGGTCTATGAACACCATATGCAAGTCCTTCTTCTTTTCTCGGTATCTTTCCATTAGTTGTCGCATCAAGAAAATGGCTTCCATGGTACATCTTCCTGGCATAAATCCAAATTGATTTACAGAAATCTTGGTATCTCTCCTCAAGCGATGTTCAATAACCCTCTCCCACAACTTCATAGTATGACTCATTAGCTTAATGCCTCTATAGTTTGAACAATTCTGTATATCTCCCTTGTTTTTGTAGATAGGCACAATCATACTTTTCCTCCATACATCAGGCATCTTATTCGTCTGGAGAATCTTATTAAAAAGATTGGTCAACCATTTTATTGCCACATCCCCCAGGCCTCTCCACACTTCAATAGGGACACCATCAGGCCCCAAGGCTTTATTAGTCTTCATCCTCTTTAAAGCTCCCTTAACTTCATGTGTATTAATTCTGCGTACAAATCTTCTATTCATATCATCATACGCGTCATCTAAGTCCACCTCGCTTGTATCTCCATCCCCATTAAACAGCTTGTTGAAGTATTTCAACCATCTTTCATTTACATCTTCATCTCTCACCAGAAGTTTTTGATTTTCATCCTTGATGCATCTAACTTGAGTGAGGTCTTTACTTTTCTTATCCCTTATCCTTGCAAGTTTATAACTACCTCTTTCACCATCCTTGCTCCCAAGATTTTTATTCAACTCGTCGAAAACCTTGCCTCTCGCTTCTCGCACTGCTTTCTTTGCATTTTTTCTCGCCAATCTAAACTTTTGCAGGTTCTCTTCGGGACTTTTATGCAAAGATCTAAAGCACTCCTTCTTATGTTTAATTGCCTCTTGCACCTCTCCATTCCACCACCATGTTTCCTTTGTATGAAATCCATTTCCTTTGCTTTCTCCCAACACCCTCCGTCCCAAATTTTGAATACACTTAGCCATCTCATTCCATATTGCATTTACTCCTCCATCAAACTCCCAAGGTCCTTCGTGCAACATTCTATCATTGAACTCTCTCTCTTTTCCCTCCTTAAGCTTCCACCACCTTATCCTTGGATTCTGAGCCCTCTTCTTCATTGTACGTACTTTGTTGAACCGAACATCCAAGACTACCAGCTTATGTTGCGTAGCAACACACTCTCCAGGGTAGACCTTACATTCGACACAAGAAGTTCTATCTTCTCTTCTAGCCAGGAAGAAATCAATCTGACTACGATTATGGCCACTATGATAAGTGATCAAGTGTGACTCCCTTTTTTGAAAAAAGGTGTTCACTAACATCAAATCGTAGGCTAGTGCAACATTCAAGATATCTTCTCCAGTCTCGTTTCTCGTCCCATAGCCAAAACCTCCATGGATTCTATCAAAACCTCCATTGCTTTTACCAACATGACCATTTAGATCTCCTCCTACGAAAATCTTCTCCTCTCGAGGTATTCCCCTCAAAACCTCCTCCAAGTCTTCCCAAAATTGGCTTTTATCAGTTGGTTGCAATCCAATTTGGGGTGCATACACACTGAGGATATTCAGGATTAAGTCACCCACAACAAGCTTAACCAGAATAATCCTGTCGCCTTTCCTTTTAACGTCCACAACTTTATCTCTGAAACTTTTGTCGATCATAATTCCAACACTATTTCGACTCTTGTTCGTACCTGTGTACCATAACTTGAAACCAGTTCCATCCACTTCCTTAGCCTTTTCTCCAGCCCACTTAGTTTCTTGCAAACAAACAATATTCACTTTCCTTCTAGCAAAAACATCTGCCAACTCCCTCAATTTACCCGTTAAGGTTCCTATGTTCCAGCTTCCCAATCTCATTCTTGAGTCCAGAATGCTGACGCTAAATGTACTTCTGTTAATTTTCAGCAAAAACAATATTCTTACTTTAATATTAGATTAATACCACGTGGTAGTTCATATGCTCCTTGTTAAGGTGCCTGGTTAGTGCTTAGTTACACATATAGGAGCTGGTGTATGGGAACTGACATTTTTGTTCTTTCTGGTGATTCCACGAATACTGGCATTATCTCACATCCTTAGCAGTGATTTCTGAATTCAACGGGATTATATTTTATTGTTCTTACAAGGTGTGTATGGATTTACAGGTGCAACGTCCTTTCTTTTCACTGAATATCAATATGTGGGGATTTTCATGGCTGCTTTTGCAATTCTGATCTTCCTTTTCCTGGGCTCCGTGGAGAGCTTTAGTACCAGGAGCCAGCCCTGCACATATAACAAGACGAAGCTCTGCAAACCAGCTCTTGCAACTGCACTCTTTAGCACTGTATCTTTCTTGCTCGGTGCTTTAACTTCAGTCCTATCTGGTTACCTTGGGATGAAAATTGCTACCTATGCCAATGCAAGGACAACCTTGGAGGCAAGAAAGGGAGTGGGAAAGGCTTTTATTACTGCATTTAGGTCTGGTGCAGTAATGGGTTTCCTTCTTGCAGCAAATGGTCTTTTGGTGCTCTACATTGCCATTAATCTCTTCAAGCTATATTATGGTGATGATTGGGAAGGCCTTTTCGAGGCTATAACTGGTTATGGTTTGGGTGGATCTTCAATGGCTCTGTTTGGGAGAGTTGGCGGTGGTATCTACACCAAGGCTGCTGATGTTGGTGCTGATCTGGTTGGAAAAGTTGAAAGAAATATCCCAGAGGACGATCCAAGAAACCCAGCTGTAAGTTATATTTACTCCTTTTCTACCTCCCTCCTCTTTTTCCCCCATCACTTTTCTGACCTCTGCTTTTTAATATTATAATGGTATTGAGCCTTTTCCATGGTCTCTTAAGGTGATTGCCGACAATGTTGGTGACAATGTTGGAGATATTGCTGGGATGGGTTCTGATCTTTTTGGTTCATATGCTGAATCATCTTGCGCTGCCCTAGTTGTTGCTTCGATTTCCTCATTTGGAATCAACCATGATTTTACTGCCATGTTATATCCGCTACTTGTCAGTTCTATGGGTATTATTGTCTGTTTGATCACTACTCTCTTTGCAACCGATTTCGCTGAGATCAGGGCTGTCAAGGAAATTGAACCTGCGTTGAAAAAACAGCTTATCATCTCGACAGTGCTCATGACCATTGGAATTGCAATTGTTAGTTGGATTGCTCTTCCATCATCCTTCACAATTTTCAACTTTGGGGTTCAGAAAGAAGTCAAGAGCTGGTAAGACATATATATTTACCAAAACAAAATGCAGATTTTGCATACCATGTGTTTTAAGTGTGTTTCTGACCTGTGTCATTTTGATCTAGAATTTTATTTGGTAGCTGTATTTTGAAAATGTATCATTTAATGATGATCCACTAATACTTCAGTTTTTTGATTTCTTGATGGTGGTGGGTAACAATTGAAATCCAGCTACTAACATAGTTCAAATTCCCAGGCAGCTTTTCTTATGTGTGGGTGTCGGTCTTTGGGCTGGACTCATTATTGGGTTTGTGACTGAATATTATACAAGCAATGCTTACAGGTAGCTGAATGATATTTTAGTTGTGCAATCTTTCCTTTCTATATCGGTCTTGACCTGTATCATTGATTGCTTTCAGCCCTGTACAAGATGTTGCTGATTCTTGCCGGACTGGTGCTGCGACCAATGTCATCTTTGGTCTTGCTCTGGGATACAAGTCTGTCATTATTCCTATTTTTGCCATTGCAATCAGCATTTTTGTGAGTTTTAGTTTTGCAGCAATGTATGGTATTGCTGTTGCTGCCCTTGGGATGCTGAGCACCATTGCTACTGGGTTGGCTATTGATGCCTATGGGCCCATTAGTGACAATGCAGGAGGTATTGCTGAGATGGCAGGCATGAGCCATCGTATTCGTGAGAGAACTGATGCCCTTGATGCTGCAGGCAACACTACTGCTGCCATTGGCAAGGTAATGCAATATTCTTGTTGGGGTTTGGCTACCCTTTATGTTTGAGCAGCCCGTCACATTTTTTTGTTCAGCTGCTTAGTTGCATAGATTTTTTGTGTCAAATTGTAATGCTGGAAAGAATCTCATATCAGCAATGTATGGGAGAGCTTGAAAGTATTGGAGCTTTAGTCGTTCTCTTAAAATGGTGCAGAACTTCAAATAATATCGGTTGCTTTCTTTCCGGTTTCCTCCGATTTTTATATGTAATTATTACTGAACTTGACTCTATCCTGTACTAGGGTTTTGCTATTGGATCTGCCGCACTAGTGTCTTTGGCCTTATTTGGTGCCTTTGTCAGCCGGGCAGGAATTTCAACTGTGGATGTCTTGACTCCCAAGGTCTTCATTGGACTCATAGTTGGTGCCATGCTTCCTTACTGGTTTTCTGCCATGACCATGAAGAGTGTTGGAAAAGCAGCTTTGAAGATGGTTGAGGAGGTTCGTAGGCAGTTCAACACCATTCCAGGAATCATGGAGGGTCTTGCCAAGCCTGATTATGCGACCTGTGTCAAGATTTCTACTGATGCATCCATTAAGGAGATGATTCCTCCAGGAGCCCTTGTCATGCTCACACCACTCATCGTTGGTACCTTTTTTGGCGTAGAAACTCTTTCAGGTGTTCTTGCTGGCTCTCTAGTTTCCGGTGTGCAGGTAATGCTGTTACTCTGACCATTAGTATTGTTTGAGTGAAAGTTATCGCTTTATATGAAGTTTTGCTTAATCCTGTTTATGTGCATTGGTTTTTATTAGATAGCAATATCAGCATCCAACACCGGTGGTGCCTGGGATAATGCTAAGAAGTACATTGAGGTAATAATTTAGTAAACTTTCGACATATATGAAAGATGATTATGTTATAGGATTTTTGGTTAGTAATGGAATTCCTCTTGGGCTTCAAATTTCAGGCCGGTGCTTCTGAGCATGCACGGACATTGGGTCCGAAGGGATCTGAACCTCACAAAGCAGCTGTTATTGGTGACACCATTGGAGACCCTTTGAAGGATACTTCTGGCCCTTCGCTTAACATCCTTATTAAGCTCATGGCGGTTGAGTCACTTGTTTTCGCTCCATTTTTCGCCACCCATGGCGGCCTGCTTTTTAAGATCTTTTGAGAAGAATAGGAAACGCTTTAAATTAATCCTTTTCTTTGGTGCGGAATAGGTTTGCCATTGACAATTAAGCCTTTTTCCTTTTTTTATTCTATGTACCAAATAGCCTCTCCACCTTTAGGTAGCTCTTCAATTAGGAGAAACATGAAATTTGTTACAAAATCTAGTTTTTGCCAAAATGTCAAATTTCCAGCTTAGTAATGTTTTCCTTCACGTTTGAAGGTTTGGGGAAATGTTTAGTTTTATAATTCACTTTATAAATCTACAAAAGTAACATGATATGAAATTAGGTTTTGTTATTTCTTATGATTTCATATAAAAAATAGATATGTATCTTTGAAAGGGGTATAGTTCAGAAGGCAATAATCTTATAATCACTAGTTGGGTAGCTTGATTATATAAAATGACCATATAAATTATAGTGTACCTTATTGATACATACAGAATAACACACTTAATATATTAACCGAAAAAGAAACTCCAAATACAAATATATATGCACATAGCGTCTAAAGGTTTATAATCACAAATTGAGAGCTCTAGAAGTCTGCCTCTAACTCTGATGTCACACTTTTGCCACATGAAGGGCTCTCATTCCTCGGTTGTAGTATTTGAAATGTATATCAGCATAATCTTTCACTTTCTTGTATAATTTTTGCTGTTGTTCATTGACCAAACCTTGTTCTGGTCCTATCTCTTTGTTTGGCTCAGGGGTATAGAACATTGCAACAGATATCCTTTCCCTCTTGGAGTTCGTTAGAACCCTATGCACAGGACTTTTGAAAACTCCATTAGTCATTATCTGCAATATCATAAAGGAATATTTAGAGAAGGCTTAATGTGATTTATTGTCACCTTTACAATTCCCGATGTACATTACCTATGGGAAATGTACACACACAGATCGAAAAAACAAAAAGAAAAAGGGAAGCGATACAGCGATTTACTCTGGTTCACCCAATGTAGGTTACGTTTAGCTTGTTTGTACTATATTCACCTCACCATCACTTGGTTTATAAGGGAATATAAATAAGATTTAGAAAACTTAACATCAGCAATTCATGGACCCAAGTTGTCTTTGCTGATCCCGTCAATAAGGACCCTCATCAGTACGAGAAGTATGAGTCATACCTAACACTACCTACATTATCTCATTTCTAACAGCTATTTTTTTTTTATTTGATATCAATCCTAATTACATTTTTGAGGCGAGTAGGCTTGAAAGCTTCAGCTCACTGGTTGTGAGACTAATCTCGAGTGCAAGACGGGGCAAGATTAAAGTTTTATGTCCCTCTCCAAGATGGTATTTGTGGGGATCAAACCGAGATCCTTCCCCATTCACAAATTCCCCATTCACAAATCCTGGATTTTCAAATTGAGAGAGATATTGAGAGAGATCAAGAATTCTCACTTCCATTGAGTAGAATGGAAGATGTATTCTATCTCGAACTTTGTTATAAAAACATATTAAAAGCACACACCTCCATTTGATCGCCCATGAGGACTAATAGGGCATGAGAAATTGTTGGAATTGTGAACCATTTTCCATCTTTGTGGACTTGGAGACCTTCAACATCATCTTGCAGTATAATGGTGTAACCTGATCCATCTGCGTGTGGTTTAAGTCCAAGAACAAGATCAGGCCGCGTACAACAAGAGTAGTAGTTGAACCTCACTTGCAGCGGTGCTTGTTCACCAAATTGATTCAGGAAGCAGTTTTCTTCTAAATCCAATGACTTTGCAATGGCTCTAGAAATAAGATTTGTTGCCTCTCTCATCTTTACAGTGTATTCTTCCAAAACATCCCTGCAGAAATGTGACTAACTAATAGTAATCTCAATTATCAGGACATCAATCTCCACTAACACATAAACAAGGTAGCTACCAACCTTTTGAACATTTATTTTAACAATTAGCATCAATTAAGGTCCTTAGTATACTATTTGGTTTTAATTTACCTAAAGGATGATGGATTTTCTGGCCAAAGGCAGGGCTTCCTTCTATCTTCAGGGTAAACTTCAAGAAACAAACGATCTGACCAGTCTAAAGATTGGCCTTCTTCAGGAACTGGATCAGCACCATACCCTTCAAATTCTTCCACCCCTTTTGAAATTTTCTTCTTTTGTTCCATTGGCTGCTCAAAAAATTCCCTTGCAACTTGACGAACCTTATCCAAAAGTGAGTTTGATGTACCATGATTTATTGCCTGAAATTTCATAGAAAAAGTACACAAACAGAAGAAGATTATAGGATTGTTTTGTGCAAGTGATATCTACAAACTGGAAATAAAAAAGTGGCAAATTGGGCATGGACCTGAAAGCATCCCCAGCAAGAGAGAGCTGATTTTAGCTTTTCTAGCTCTTCTTTTTGTTTAGTTGCTGGTGTTGGTAAAGAAAGGAGCCCAAAATCAATGATGGGTAGTGAGCATGATGCAGAAGGGACATTGTGTGCAAAGTCGTCATCATCATCTCTGCAAACATAAGGTGGTGGTGGTTCCTCACTATTTAAGACCATTTCTTGAACACGTTTGGATATTAGTGCTTCCATTGGCATTATAGAAACTCCTTTCATGTTATATCCTAAAAGTCAATTACCTTCGTCCTCCTTTCTCTTTACTACTCTCTATGTTTATATTAACGTAAGCACTGAAGAATGATAAAGTCCCTTTCGGTGCGCTTTCGGTAGACTGTGGCTATGGTTCTTTACATCCCAAGGTTTATCACAGTTTCACCGTCCCCGTTTTAAAAAGTGGAATTAAAATAAAATAAAAAAGCACAAAAAGGTAAACCAAAAATAGGCCTGTGCAATTTTCACACTTCTAGCCTAAAGGGCTCTTGCGTGAGAGGGCGTGTTGAGATATATAGTCCTACATTGATTGGATGAGCAACTAATATGACCTTTATAAGACCTTGGACACTCCCACCCCTTGAGCTAGCTGTTGGGGTGGTGTATCCCAAGGTTCTTTACATGATATCAGAGCTTGAGTAACTACAAGGTCACAAGTTCAATCCTCATGGCCCCCCACTTTCAAGTGAAATTAAAAATTAAAACAAAAGCACAAAAGGTAAACCAAAAATTGGGCCTGTGCAATTCCACCCTTCTAGCCCAAAGGGCTCTTGCGTGAGGGGGCATGTTGAGATATATAGTCACACATTGATTGGATGGACAACTAATATGGCCTTTATAAGGCCTTGGGCACTCTCATCCCTTGAGCTAGCTTTTGAGGTGGTGTATCTCAAGGTTCTTTACATCTCAAGGTTTTTTACAGTGGCCAAAATCAAAATGTAGAGTATTGTTCAATTGGTAGATTTGTTGCTCTGTTGATAAGTAAAATTAAAATAAAGTTAATTATACAGTTGATATTTTTTTGAGTAATTATTTAATTTATTACCATTATACAGAATGGAGAAACGCTTGTCGATTTATAAAAAAATGAGTATCATTTTAAAAGACAAGGTGTGTCGTTTTAAGTTACAGAAAGAGATAAATTATAAGAAAGACACCGAGTGAAAAAAGTTTTAAAGATGTAAGTCCCACTTCTTTATAAGAAGAGTGAAACGATATAAAATGTGTTATATAAAATGACACACCTTTTTTTCCTGATTTTTATTTACATGGTTAATAATGTCTTAAAATTCCAATTTCTCTAAATTTTATTTTAACCGTGTTACCGAGCATATATTGCTAAAGCATCCTGAGTTTGCTAAAATGGTGGGGAAGCTTTCATGTCAAGGAGTGTGTAGAATGAAAAAGACGTAAAGCCAACGAAAGAAGCATAAAGCAAACTTTTGGCTGAAATTTCAAAGTTACCGTGCATGTCTTATTCATTCACGAGAATTTTGAGATTTTCTGTGTATGTTCTTGTACAAACGGTGAAGGTTTATGTATCAGTGTCGTGCAACTGTTTTTAAGCATCTCGAGAGGGTACTATTGTTTTATGGAAACTATTACTCCGAGGTAATTATCTCATGATATCTCACTTCAAAAGTCTTATCCACTTATTTTTTTTTAATCCTTTAATGATAGGCTTCACGTGATTTTTCTCTATAATATGAAAAAACTGTTGGGAACTCGGTTCCCTCAGATCGGCTCAGGGGCCTTTGTGCGGAAGTCTATCAACAAGATCCTGATCTCGCATCTCCACAATACCTCGGCCTGAACTTCACCAGGTCGGGTAGCACAGCGAAAAAATCAAAACGAAAAATCACAAAACAGGAGAGAAAGAGAGAGAGAGAGAAAAAGAACACAACCAGATTTAACGTGGGGAAACCTTCTTCAATGAAGAAGTAAAAACCCACGGACCCAGTCCAGATCAAAAATCCACTGTGAAAATAATGGTTACAAATAATCAGAATCACCAATGTGTGGTGGTTAACTAAACCTCTCCAACAATGGTGATAATCAAACTACCCTAGAGATGTTTCACTCAAACTCTCTATAGATCTCTCAAATGCAAAGCATAAAGCTTTGCTCAAACAGTCAAATAATTATCTCTCAAATTTTTCTCTAATCTCTTAACCTAGCCTCCACCTACAACTAATGAATATATATAGAGGAGGTGGAAATTAGGGTTAAGGTTTTTAGTAAACCCCTCAAATGAGCTTGGGCTTAGCATTGAAGGAGGAAGCCCAACAAATCTCCCCCTCCGACTTCAATGTGTCGGCTTCAGCATCAACCCGGCTCCTTCACAGCAGTCTTCAAATTTTCTTGCTAGAACTGGCTTTGTCATCATGTCGGACCAATTTTGGTTAGTGTGCACCTTGACGAGTTCGAGCTCTCCACCTTCCACCACATCCCGGATCCAGTGATACCTCACATCAATATGCTTAGTGCGGGAGTGATAGGTTGAATTCTTCGCAAGATGGATTGTGCTTTGATTGTCACAACCCAACTCGTACTTGTCTTGATCATGGCTGAGTTCCATGAGGAACTTCTTCATCCACAACATCTCTTTGCTTGCCTCAGTAGTGGCAATGTACTCAGCCTCAGTTGTTGATAGTGCAACACATTTCTGAAGTCTTGATTGCCAAGAGACAGCTCCTCCGGCAAATCTCATCATGTATCCCGTCGTCGACTTCCTCGAGTCGAAATCTCTCCCTAAATCAGAATCCGAGTAGCCTTGCAACTCGGCTTTGCCTTCTCCAAATCGGAGACATAAGTCTGTCATACCTCGGAGGTACTTGAAGATCCACTTCACTGCTTCCCATTAAATCACCAGGCTAGCTCGAGCTCAACCCGGCTCTGATACCAAATGTCAGGCGGATCGAGGGAGAAGCCCGTGGTGGGGGGCCACCATCAATGAGCCAAGCTACTCCACGTACACCAAGTGGATCTGATACCACATCTCAACCCAAAGCCTTAAGGCATTTGATTCATGGGTCCTTCCACTTATATACTCTTCACTTAGCCCATTACCAATCAATGTAAAACTTATCACACTTGAATATTTCAACAGTTCTATTATTTTTACAATAATGCTCACTAACTGATTCTGACTAATGCCTAGCAACTTATGGCTAACTGGATAGAACAACTTTTAGTATTGTCTATTTTATATTAGTTTAATTAAATTCAATTTTTTCCCGGATGCACCATAGAATTGAATCCTAATGTATAAAATTAACAAGTATTTAAATTTAAATCCCTCAAGGAAATGAATTTTGAACTCATTAATGAATATTTAAATTAACAACTTATAATGAAAATCCATTAAAAGAATTAAAAAAAGAAATTATTGTATTCAAAATAATTACAAGCTTTAAATAATTGAATGATTTCAAAAGAGGATATTTTGCAGCAGCCTATCAGAACCTAAGAAGGTGGGGACTGGGGAGGAGGGGGACTGAATGATTTGACATAGTGTTGACCGTTCACGGCAAGTAATGGTAACCTTCCAAATCAATTATCGAAAAAAGCCATAACATCATTATCCACTTAAATCAGCATATGCAAATTCCCCCACAAATTCCTCAAACAAACGTTTATGTATAGTAAACTCTTAAATTTGAGTTAATTTTTTTCCTCTTATCTGATCATTAATAAATAGTTACACTGATATTTATCGACACGGGATACGATATGATATGATACTCTTGACACGTTAATTTTAAAAAATGTTAAATTTTGACACATTAAGACACGTTTTGATATTAAATAATATTTTTAATTTATATAGTGTATATTATATTTAATATTCAATAACTTAACAAAAAAATAAAGTTAAACTTATAACAGCCATCAATTTTGCAAAGAAACATCAGATAACCCAAATATTTATATTGAGATAGGATCAACTTACACTAGTGTAAGAATAATAAATCTTACACCAAATCTTAACCGTTGATTTTCGTGCATCCAATGATTGAGATTTATTGGGAATTAAAAATTAATTAATGAGTGAGACCTAATAAATCTTAACCGTTAAATGTAGAAAATCAATGGTTAAGATTTGGTGTAAGATTTATTATTCTTACACCGGTGTAAGATGATCCTGCCCTATTTATATTAAATTTAATAAAATAGTAATTGTATCCAACAAATCTAATAGTTGGAGCTAAAAACACAATGCAACGCACCATTTGAATATTTTTTTGAGTCTCTGCAATGCGTGTTGAAGTGTCAGAGTGTTGGAGAATATCGATAAGTGTTAGACACAATACATCAGAATTTTTAAAATATCGATACTTCGTGGGTTGTCATAAAAAAAAATCCAAATCCAAAATCTGTTGTCTAGAAAAACACAATAATGCAATTGCCATTTTTGTCTGTTTCTCTTATGTTTTTTCATATTTTCCCTTTTAAATCGAAATGGACCTCTAGCTACTCCTTAAGGCTCAATACAAAGTAAACCGGTATTGCACAAAAAGGCCCGATTTGTTATCCATTGATTGAAGGCCCAAACTATATGTCTTGCAATCTCATCTATCCATCCACGTGTTCATATTTTTCATTGATGAGATCCAACGGCCACTGCTCTGCCACCACTCCATGTTCTTTTACACCACACCCTTCAGTTTTCTCTCTCTCTCTCTCTCTCTCTCTCTCTAGTTTCAGTGTTCTGTTTCATCTTCGTCCTCGAAAATGCTGGCACGCCTCGCCGCGAATCGCATCAACGAGATCCGTCAGATTTTCCGTCAGGTTTTCTTTCGATTTCATCTCCCATTTTCTTCACTTCCTTTTCTGATTTTTGATTAATTATTTAAAATATTTTTCTGATTTTCCTCCTTCTCAGCCTTCGAGGGCTTTCTCAACGGCTCTGAACTATGTAAGTGCCCTTCGTTTTCGCTTCGATTTTCTTAGTTTTCCGTTTCATGCTTGTGATTGTTGATGTATCGATTTTTTTTTTACTGGGACAGCACCTTGACTCTCCCGACAACAACCCCGAGCTTCCGTGGGAATTCAGCGATGCTAACAAAGAAAAGGTGATGTTTTATCGCTCTGGAATTGTAAAAATTCGAACTTGGAATGTGGGTACCATGACATGTGATAATTTAACAATATATAGTTCACCGTCAATGTTAAAATACAAAATGTAGCAGTAGGCACCTCTGAAGATGATTAGTCTAATTATCTTGCTTCTAATTTTGTTTTTGGCGTTGATTGAATTATGCCTAATTGCCTATTGCTATCAGTGTTTTGTCTTTATAAACTTTGGTCTCTCTTTCTCTCTTAATATATATTGACGCTTAATCACTATAAACATACTGTTTTAACAATTTAAAGTTATCTGTCATGTAATATATTCTATAAGCTATATTACTTTATTGCTTAACCAAATGAATATTATATATTCTATTACATTGAATCTGGCTCTGGACCTACAAAATCTGGTGTACATGAAAAGTTCAAAACTCTTCAAGGATGTGTGCTGGGTTGCAACTTATTGCTGTTCTCAATTTGCCCCACTGTTACTCTTTTGCCTGACTAGCTTTGTTCTTTACTCTGGAGTAATCAAAGTTGCTTATTAAAGCAGAAAATATTACCTAAGAAAGAGTAGAATTTACGAATTGATGCCTTCATGATTGGTTCTATCATAATGTATCTAAGAATTATGAATTTTTAATTCAATATGGACATCATGTGTATGATCCTTTTTTGTGGCTAGCACATGTTTAAAAAGCTCTTAATGATTTTAATCTGTGCTAATTACAGGTTAAGGAGATTATATCTCACTATCCATCCAACTATAAGCAATCTGCAGTGATCCCTCTGCTGGATCTTGCCCAGCAGCAGCATGGGGGCTGGCTTCCTGTTTCAGCAATGAATGCGGTATGTTGGCCTCATGCTTGAAGTATTCTCAGTATGTCTAGAAATGGATTTGGGGTTCTCTTCAGTTTTCAAAGAACTGTAGAAAATCCGAACCACAAAATTTGTAGCATTTTATTTTAAAATATAATTATAAAAATCAAAAATATTAGCACTCTTGGATTCATGAACTGCACGTGGCAGTTATTTGCAGACTGCAGGTGATCATAATTCTGTCTAGAAACATATCAAAGGACCATGTCTGATTCTTTGAGCTAGTCCTGTAATGCTGTTGGCGGAAAAAGGTCATCCATGTAGGATTGCAAGTTATTGAACTGGATTTATTGTGTTTGATTGATAATGTCTATAAAGTACTAAATTTAACAACTCCTGTGAGTTGATGATGTTCCTACGTGACCCCTAAATAATTCCTGTGATAGTCTTGAAATTCTTTCAATGAGCCTATTATGTTATTGTGAATTTCCAGTCAAGATGGTCCTTTTGAAATTCTTGCTGAGGTTTTCAGAGTGAAGCCTTTTCCTTTTGTGATAGTTTGTATAGACATATTTGTCTTCTGCTGAAGTATCACTCTGTTGGTTGACATACATGCTATGTTTAAAATCTATACACGCAACAAGGTTTGATTATTGATGTACGAATATTTCTTCTCCTTCTATGTTAATGCTCGTCATTCTTTCATTGAGTTTTACTCATAGCAGCCTGTCACTAGGATGCTGCTGTGGAAATCCCAAATTAGTATAATGTTTGCAAACTGAATTTTAAAATTCTTAATAGTGCAGGAAGCTATTCAAATCCTTATAAATAAACAGTTTTGTGAATTATTCAGGTGGCTAAGACTATAGAGGTTGCTCCTATTCGGGTATATGAGGTTGCCACATTTTACTCAATGTTCAATCGAGCCAAGGTGAAAAACATATAAGCTTCAATGCTTTCATTTTTGTTTGTCCACATTAACCAAGCCAGGGCTTATACGGATCAACTTGCTTTAAATTTTCAGGTTGGGAAGTACCATTTGTTGGTTTGTGGAACAACACCTTGTATGATACGAGGTTCACGGGAGATTGAGGAAGCTTTATTGAAACACTTGGGAGTGAAGCGCAATGGTTGATTCACCTGTCTTAATTTCTCCCATTCACCTAATACTGAACCTTATCTTGTTTTTGACAAATTGAAACCATATGATTTATCTAAAAATTACTTTCTTTTTACGTCTAATTTGCAGAAGTAACACAAGATGGTTTGTTTTCTGTTGGAGAAATGGAATGCATGGTAAGCCTTTTCATTAAACAATATCTTATATCAGATTCAACTTGTTCCTTGTCCTTAGAGTTGTAGTCCTGTTTGATTTTTGCTGACATGAAGCTTGTATAGAGCGGAAATAATTACATGAAGAACAAAGCTGGATTGTGGTGAACGTTGTTGTGATAGTTTTGGATATATCTCTGATAACAATACTGAATTTAAAACTCTTTAGTATTTTACCTTTTTCAGTAATATTAAGTTACCCAAATAATCCCTTGGATTATTAGCAGAAGAAACATCTCAACAAACTTTATGGGACAATAGTATCTAAAATAATAATAGAAATAAATAACAGTATCAACATCAACAACACTTTTATCCCAAACTAATCGGGGTCGGTGGTTGATGAACCCAAATGAAAGGTACGAAAAAATAAAAGTAAAAATAAAAAGGGGTGTAAAAAAAATAAATAAATAAAAAATGAATAACTAAATAAAAAAAAAAAGAAGAAAGATGGGGAAGGGGAAAAGAGACAAAGGAAAAGAAGGGGGAAAGAAGAAGGGGGGGGGGGGGGCAAATAAAGAGGAAAAGGACTAAAAAGGGATCATCTCGAACATAGGAATAACAACGGGTCTAACTTTCCATTATGCTAATAGCTTTTTTTCATTCCATCTTAAGGCACACCTTCCGCCAATCTATATCCCGTTCCATTAAGTCTTGTTTTACTATCTTTCCCTAAATGAGTTTCGGTCTACCTCTACCTATCTTTGTGTCGAGCTCTTGGTAACAAACTTTTGTTCTTATGAGGGGCCTTCTCATCACTTATGCAAACCACCTCAATCTACGTTCTCTCATGTTTTCAGCCACCGGTAGTACTCTTGCTTTACGTTGAATATCTTTATTTCTTATCTTATCCATCCTCGTATAACCACACATTCACCTTAATATTCTCATTTCTGCTACTCCTATTTTATGTTCATGTTGTCTAGGTGCTGGCTAACATTCAGCTTCATATAAAATTGTAGGCCTTTCTACTATTCTATAGAATTTTCCTTTTAGCTTAAGGGAAATTTTGTAGTTACATAAAAACCCTGAAGCACTAAGCCATTTCATCCACCCTGCTAACAGTATCTAAATGAAAAAATAAAATGAAATCACCTATTGTGGTGGATGGTTTTTGTGATTTGGAGAAAAAATAAATCCAAGGGGAGGTGAAAGAGTTGCATACTTGTGTTCTGTTTTTCCGAGTTGCACACAATTACAGTCCTATATGTAGTCTATAGGAGTGACAATGTTGTGATGTCCGATATTTTATTGATTAACCACGGAATGCATGATTGAAGTTGTTGGTGTTATGCAGGGATGCTGTGTGAATGCTCCTATGATTACAGTGGCTGATTACTCAAATGGATCCGAAGGATATACTTATAATTACTATGTCCGTCTTTTCCCTTTTGTTTCTCTTTTTTTTATACTTGTACTTCTGAAGCACTCTTGATATGTCATGTTGATGTTGATTCCAGGAAGACGTAACCCCAAAGAGAGTAGTTGAGATAGTGGAAATGCTGAGAAGGGGTGAGAAGCCACAGGTAAGGATATTGGCCTTGATCTATTTAATTATTGTCCATGTTATACAAACTTACACCTTCTTGGCATATCTTTTAATTTGTTTGAATTTAGCCCGGCACACAAAATAAAGGGCGGACGAACAGTGGACCTGAAGGAGGTAATACTACTTTGTTAAGTTCTCCCAGTGCTCCTCAATGCCGTGACCTCGATGCCTGCTGAAATGTGTTACATTTTTTGCCTTCAATAATATGAGGCTTGCATGCCTTGATCGGAACATTGTCGAATTGTTACATGCTCAACCATTTTTTGTGTTAACCTACCAGGATGGCTTCCGATTAAGTTATCTGTTCCATAAAAAGCCATTGGTCTCTTTGCTTGTTTACATCAGTGTTGTCTATGTTTTTCTGTACTCTGTTGTACATTAATCATCATGAATGAAATTTGAGATTCCAATGTCATCTAATAATTTATTTAAGCAAGTGAATTGCGTTGGCATGCATTATCCATGTGGGTTACGACCATTCAACAATGGTAATGGTAGTGCAATTTTGTTGAATGCTACACACGCTTCCTTGATAGAGGCCATGGGTACTCCGAGTCCGGTCCTAGTAGTAGCAGGTTATAGAATGAAATGTTCAATTGTTATTTGATGATTAAGGAAAGTTCCTGGCAGGACCGAACATAAACATAGGAAAAAGAAATTTAAAACTTGAGGTGTAGTGCATGGTAACTTGCTCTTTTTCCTTGCAAATAATCTGCGGAAACAGACGGAACAACTACAGACCAATGTGATATGTTCTTTGGCTATTGGATTTCATGAAGCATTTCCATTGTTGTTTATCATGCGAACCACCTCAAGCCATTTTCATTCTCCAATTTCTTCTTTGGAAAAAAAAAAACATATCTTGAATAATTTATCCCAATTTCAATAGGGTTTTATAAGAGTTATGTTGTAGGAAAAATGATTGTGTAATGTTATAGAGATTCGTTTTGCGTGTCGTAATTTTCTTTTTTCTTCAAAAAATGTGAGCTCTATAAAATATTGTTGTGTCATGATAAATGATAAGTACAAACCCCATTTCAATAACATAGAGACGTGCAACTAACCGAAAAAGTTTGTGTTTAGTAATTAGTTAAAGCGTGTTAATACCTCATATAGTCATCATATAGTCAGATGTAAAAATGATACTTGTATTTAAGTGTGAGCGTATTATAAATTCATTAAATTTATTGTAAGATAGGTTGAGTTTATAGAGAATTAGGTTTTTTTTCCTGTTTACTGTAACATCTTAGGGATATATAAAAGGGAAAAAAGTTTGTCCTTTTAAAGGATATAATTTTATTTCATTTTAGATCTTTAACCGTTAATTTTCGTCAATTAACAATTATAATTTATTGGGTCAAATTTATTAATTAATTAGTAATTCGTAATAAATAATAATCATTGATTGATGAAAATCAACAGTTAGAATCTAAAATGACATAAAATTATATTCTTTAAAATGATAAATGTTTTCGCTATAAAAATATGGGATATATTATTCTACCTATTGTTTTTTCTTCTTACCTTTACCTATCTCTCTCCAACACTGTTAGATCAGAATTTTAACTAACATTTATCTTTCTCTCTCTTCTTGAGATTTTGATCTAACGATATTGGAAAATAGTAGGTAAAATAACTTATCCCATAAAATATTGAAGAAGAGGTAAGATAAAAAAATATGATGTAAAATACAGAAATTAACATGAAAGGAATTAAATGGGAGAATAAAAGTGTCCGTCTGCGCTAGTTGTGAGTTGCGAGTTGGGACGCGACAGAACAATTGCTGCTTTTCGAGAGAGTCGATGATGACAAGGCAACCCACACCCACTCGTGTATATTCTCAGGAAAAGTCCCATTTGGTCTGAACTCTGAAGTATCCAAAGTCTTCTGCTGAATCCAAGAAAATTTCAGGTCTCTTCTCCTTTCCCTTTCTTCTGAAAATCCTACAACTTTGGTTGATGGGGGGTAAAAAGCAAAGCCACCATTTTAATTCTTTTAACTCTGCTACTAGAATTTCTGGCTTGAAATTCAGTTTCTTTCTTCTTCTTCTTCTTCTTTTTTAGTTGCTTTTACTCGTTTATACACTGAAATTATCAGTTGAGTGATAAATGTTTGTTCAGATTTTACTTTGAAGCCCAGAAGTAGTGATGGGGAGTGCATCATCTATGCTAACTCAATATGACATCGAGGAAGTCCAAGAACACTGTAATAATTTATGTGGGCCATCTTTATATCTTGTTCTTCCTTTACTTGCATCCAATATGTTTTCTTGATAGATCTGATTTTGGGTGTTGAATTTAGTTTCCCAGCAGGAAATTGTGTCCTTGTATCAAAGGTTTTGTCAACTTGACAGGAATGCAAAAGGATTCATCTCAGCAGATGAGTTCTTGTCTGTTCCTGAGTTTGCTATGAACCCACTTTCTCAGGTAGAGAGTTGTTTTTCACTTTATGGGAATTTTCAGCCCAAGATTTTTGCTTATTTTTTAACTTTTTCTTTTTGCCATCACCATATACTAAAGGGGGCATGTATAGTGGAAAGAATCATTATCAGGAGTTTATGGTGCTTAGATTATTACAGAAAGAATTGTGGGTGTATTCATGTGTAGATTAAATTACAAAACATCCACAGAATATCTACAAATATGCTGAATTCTTTCTATAATAATCTACAAATGATACATGCACAATTGTTTCTGTAATAATCTATTTGATGGATTGTGTGCTTATTTCCATAATAGTACATGATCTATTTTCCCATATTTGATGGATGGTGTGCTTATTTTCCAGAGGCTACTCAAGATGGTGGATGGTTTGAATTTTAAAGACTTTGTGGCCTTCTTATCTGCATTCAGTGCCAAAGCTAGTGCACAGCAAAAAATAGAACGTACGTGTTAGTTCTATTGTACAGCAATTTTTTTTTTTTTTTTCTTAAAAGTTGTTTTATCTATTATATTAAGGCTTTGAGTTGAGAGTCAGAAAATGGAATTGCAGGTTAGGGATTGATTTTGTTTTCTTACCAAGGCTGAATTTTCTTAAATTAATTTGCAAAGACCATACTAGTTAAGTTGTTATTGTTCCAATAGTTCGGAGTTTATTCTCTACGGGCATCAGGTTTGGCATTTGTTTGAATTAAATGTCTCTGTTCTTGCTTTCTGAATCTAACAAATAATATGAAGAAATGCAGTAGATGTTAGCTAGGTAAGGGGGAGAGGGACAACAGAATGACAATCTTCGAGGAGGATCCAACCCTGCGTTTTGTAATTTATTTGAAGATGTCAGCCCCTATGTATAGTTTTCAGGATTTTTTTTAATGTATTTCAGAGTGCTGATAACTGCAACACTAAAGTCAATTAAACAGTTCACAATTGCTTATGCAAATATTGAGTTCAAATGAAATGAATTATTCAATGATTTTCAATCTTGAAAAAGGGATTGTTTTGTGGGGTGGGGTGGGAGAGTTTTATTAAAAAAATTCCCTAATAAATTATGATCTGATCTTCTACTACTGGCATTGTCCGATTGCTTTTAATTAGGGTACTTATAGTTGCTAGTTTTTCTCTGCTGCAGTTATTTTCAAGGTATATGATTCAGACCATAATGGAAAGGTGTCTTTTAAAGATATGCTGCAAGTGCTAAAAGATTTGTCAGGTCCATTCATGTCTGATGAACAAAGAGAGGTATCACCAAAGATCTATACCAGTTTGATATCCCTAATTTAAGTTTGGTATGCTGAACTCTTGAGTTTTGTATCACCCAGCATCAGTAAGATTTGTATATTGGTCATCTGTTAGATGTAATTCTGCTTCACAGTGTAAATTGGGTCGTTAGTTTTGATTTCTTGGTTTCACTTTTGCATATTCTCCAAAATGGAAACTGATGACTATAATGGTAACCATTAATTTTTCTATTGTTTGTATGATCCAGTTTGTTTCTGTTGTTTGTAGTACCTGTAGATGAATTGCATCTCCATATAACAAAAGCCAAAAGATATCTGTTTTTTTTCTTTAGTTATTATTTTTTTATCTCATGAGACTGCATAAGTTTAGGTCTTTTTTGTTTTTCTTTTTTTTCACACACCTTTTCATTTGTGCTGGCATTGGTTTATTTAGACTTAATTGAGCGTGGCTAATTTTGTTCTTTGTTCTTTGGTTTGCAGGCAGTCCTGAGTCAAGTTCTCAAAGAAGCAGGATACTCGGAAGACTCCTACTTGACATTGGATGACTTCATTAAGGTCTATACATTTTGTCTTATATTTTCTCTGGACAATTCTTAAATGGATATCACAAAAAGAAGTATGGAAGAATAGCTAAATCTAAGTTAGTTTTTCCCCATTTGGTCCACTGTAGACCTGTCAATCTGGTGGGTCTCAGATTGGAGTCTACTTTGAGTTATTTGGTTTTGTTCTCCTTGATACGTCCTTGGCCACAGTGGGAGAGCTTATAGGAAGTGGTTCTTGTTAGTGGATGAAACTAAAGCAACAAAGTAGAAAAAATTAATGTCTTGTGGGAAGGGATTTTACTACTGTGAAAGCATTTAAAAATCAACTTGCTTGGTGCCTTCTTAATCCAGAAATTTAGCCTGATTGTGTATCTCTTTATAAAAATGATGAGATATTTGAACACAGACAAGATTGTTTGATATCTCAATTGGTCTTTTTTATCATATTGTAGAATTTTGTTTACTAGTATGTCAAAGTTGACAGTTTGTTCAATCTTTGTGCTTCAAATTCATTTGGAAGAGTCAGTTTATTAGATACTGATAGAATACCAGCAATAAGGGTGCGCTATAGGAAAAGGTACAGGAGATTATCAGTTCTTTTACTAGCTGAGTGATCAATTCTGGTAGGAGGAAATATTACATAATCTGTTAGGGGGAATATTGCATCACAGACATGGCCATATGAGGTTAAATAGAGAATGGCAAGAAGGATAGTCAGGCTATGAATAGGATTGGAATTGGGACTTTGGAAGAGAAGAGTAGCCTCTCAAATGCTATTGAGTTATTTGTTTCTTTTTTTTAGCACCTTTCCTTTTAGCTGTAATTTTCCGTACTCTGTAATTCCCTTCATCCTTGTATGTACTGTTTGCTGGTTTCTTACTAGAACCGGTTTGGAGAAATACAATTTCAGCGTTTTATTTTCCATTTAATTCTATCCTTGTTGCCAAAAAGAGATCAGAAGAAAAAGATGGGTCATAATTTAGGCTTTGTTATACACATCAAAATCTGATAGGAATAGATTCTCTCATAATATTTAAGGTCATGTGAGAAGATTTTTACCGGTGATGGAAAAATACATTAAAGAGTATAGCCCTTTTTGGATCCCTAACAAAAAGTATGATCCCTACTTTCGTCCCTTACAAAAAAAAAAAGGTCAACTTTTGGTCCTTCTACAATTCTAGTTCTTTGAAAATGTGGTATCTCAGAAATTCAATGAAAACCCAATTTAGTCTCCAAAAATGACTAATATGGGGGTTTTTTTTTTTTTTTTTAAAGACAAAAGTAGGGATCGCGTTTTTTGTTAGAGACCCAAAAGGGACTTTACTCTACATTAAAATATAAGTTTAGATAAAGATCACCGTTGATTTGTATTAAAGAGCCTATACCCTCTCACGTGACCTCATGTCAAATGAAAGGATCTATTCTTGAACTTGTGTTAGAAGACTGTTTCTGCCTCTTATTCTCTTTCTCTTTCTGTTTCTGAATTTTTATTTTCTTTTAATTTGTCACAGGTTCTTGGCCAAACTGATCTAAAAATGGATGTCGAAGTCCCTGTTGATTAGGGCTGTCTGCAGCTTTCCTAGTTCTCTTGAAAGATAAAAATTGTAAACTGTATTCATGGGATTCTTGTAACATAGTTCACGTGGAAATGAAAAGTGCACAAATACTGTTGTCCCCTTTCTTCTTGGGATTCTTGTAGTACAGTTGTTTTCCAGCCACTACTTATATTCGAGCCAATTTGAGTCGTTCTTGAGCTTGATTCAGTTTTTTGCATTCCTTGACATGTTTTTTACCACCTTTTTGTGTGTCCTGAATTCAAGTTTGAGGTAATTCTTTCTATTTGAAGCTTCCAAGTGTTGTTCATGAAGTTCACGTGTCTTAGCCACCATGCACATTTCTAGTTGTTTGCTGCATAGAGTCTTTGCAGCGGTGACTTTTTACCTTGCCATTTAGCTACATGTCACTCCAGCTGTGTTATGTGTTCAGCAATCAGCATTATCTCTTCAGCTCAAGCTGGGAGCACCTTGATGGAGAGGAGAGTGTTACTTTGTTACCACATTAGGATTCTTATTGTTTTATATCTTATTATGTACTAATTGTGTATATTATTATTTTGTTTTCATCAAATCCTTATTATATCAACAGATCGAGAGATGATTATTGTTTCTATAAATTAGTCATTCAAATTGAAGGAAAATTTTGCAAATTTCAATTCAAATTATCCAAACAAGATGGTTTTTAATGAAGTATTTGAAATACGCTTGAGAAGCAAAAAAAGGGAAAAGTTGAAATGATGCACCGAGCTTATTGATTTGTATTGGGCTCAAATGTAAACAGCCAGCTCGAAATGGGCTTTAGAGCAAGAGTTGTCGTGTTACTATGGGCATTGACAATTTTGGGCCTTTTTATAGTTTATCCCATGATTTAGAGCTTTCAATAATTGTTAATTATTTTTTTTTTTGTTATTCTTAGATTATATTAGAGTGTGCGTTATTTCTTTTGATTGCGTGTGATTATAGTTATTTACCTTTTTTGTTATTTTGTTTTGCCTATTTAAGATTTGGAGAACTCTATTGTTATCAGGTTGTTTTTGGTTAATAAAATTCAGAAAAGAAAAATAGTGTTTTCTCGCAATTCTTGTATTCAGACTTTCTCAGTGTTATGAACCCGGTCCAACCCGGAACTCAACGAACCGATCACCGGATCGGTTCAAGTTAAGCATCGAACCGGCCATGTATTGGACCCAGTCAAATCTGAATAAAACTGGTCAAAACAGGTGACCTAGTCGGGTCATGCATTTTTATAAACAAAATTAAAAATTATAAAGTAACCAAAAACCAAAATTGTTTCATTTTGTCAGAAAAAAATATGGAACTCATTTAAAAAAAAAATTGTAATTTTTTTTTACTAGTAGTATACTCTTCTACAATGTCCTTGAATTTCAGCTTCCAATATTCAAGCAATTTGCGGAACAATGAATTAAGAGAATGTGACGTATGACATTTCAATGTCGATGAATTCGAAAAATATGAGTTCACATGCTTTATGATCTTGTAAAAATGTGATTGAGTAATTTTTAAGCTTATTTAGTGAACCTTGTTTAACTCATTTTAAATATGGAGAATATAATTAAATTTATATGTTTATATTTATATATATTTTTATATATATTTATATATATCCGGGTTAACCAGTCCGACAAGTGACCCAGTACCCCAATCGGGTCGATGTCCAAGTCGGGTTTAATAACACTAGTCTTATTTACAAAAAAAATAAAATAACACTAGTCTTTCTTTCTGTTTAGCCAATGAGGTACTGCTTCGGCATTACTTTTTTTGGTTTATTCTTTTATCATTTATTTTTCTCTGTTTTTTTTCCTCATTACTACTTACCTCACTTATGATTTTTTTTCATTCAATTCCTCATTTAATATGGTTAGTAATATCTCTATTTTGCCTACATTAAAAGCACTAATTTATCATTCAAATTTTGGCCAAAACTATTAAATCATAAAAGGTAATTTGTTATTGGTGACCAAAACTTTTATATGAGACAAAATCGAATTAAAATTTCACCTTATAATTTTGTCAGTGGCTAGACAGGCCATCGTGGCAAACGGTGGCTGGCCGCTGGCTTGAATGGTTGCCGGAGAGACTTCAAGGCAAGAGACATCGGAAACCGGAGTGAGGAAACAATTTCTAGATGGGGTGGACAGTGCTTCCAGTAGGACACGAAACAAAATTGCTTGTCATATATGTTGAAATCCATGTGTCTCAATAGCAGAATTCTTGATGTTCATAGAAAACGAAACTGAATTCATAAATAATACTTTTGATATTGAAAAACTGACTTCAACATTACATCAGAGTCTATATATATGAGCAGTGAAAAACTAAGAAGCTTAAAGAAAAGAATACAACTAACTTTGTTATTCATAACAGAAAGATAAAAACTGAAACTAACTAATATGACGTGGCAATTGATCAATTAGAAATCTGTTATGATTGGTGGCTCTAATATATCTAAAGGGAAAACTATATCCGCGTGTGTGCACAGCTGTAGCAACTGAGGTATTTGCTGACGTGGAATGTTTTAGCCCCCCAAGTAGGACTTAGCACATTAAGGAGTCCTAACTTGGAGATAACTGTCGTGAACATCTTCAGAGGTAATGACTTCGTGAAAACATCAGCGAGCTGAGCTGCTGAAGACACAAGAAGAAGATGAATGAGACCTAACCGAAGTTTCTCCCATGTGACGTGGAAATCGAGTTCTATTTTCTTGGAGCGTTCATGGAACGCCGGATTGCGAGCTAAGTATATTGCAGATCGGTTGTCACAGTATACAATAGCAGGCTTCAACTATGGAATACGTAGATCAGAGAACAAGTGTTGCATCCATTGCAGTTCACAGGTGAGACCAACAAGGGCGCGGTACTCTACCTCAGATGAAGAACAAGATACCGTAGATTGTTTCTTAGATCGCCATGCAACTAGTCATGAACCAATGAAGACACATATACCAGAAATTGAGCATCGTGTGTCAGGGTAGCATGCCCAATCTGAATCTGTGAAAGCTCGAACGTGGAATGAATTTTGAACAGGGAAGAAGAGATCCGAAGCTGGAGCACCCTTGAGATAGTGAAGAACACGGTGAGCAGCATTCTGATGTGAGTCCAATGGATAAGCAACGAATTGGCTTAATTGTTGTATTGCAAAGCTGATGTCAGGACGCGTTGTTATGAGATAAAGAAGTCTACCAATGAGACGACGGTAGGAAGAGGGATCAGGTACTGGATTGCCATCAGTTCGAGAAGGATGCACTTCACCTCTGATCCTCCCTTATATTCCTATATTGTATTTTATAATTAACTAATTTGTTTGCTCAGACAATTCATTATTTTCCTATAAATTAGTTGAACTCTAATGTCGTAGTGATTTCAACCCTTTAACCCAATTAGAATCCTAGTGTCTTAGTAATCCCTCTTGAATTAAGCATTAAGCAAATGAATTAAAAGTCTGCAATCTATGTAAGCCTATGTCTAGGTCATGCACAAATTGTTATTCTATCCTTGTCCAGATTAAAACCTCAATATGTCTATTGTGAGCTTTAACCCTCAAAGCCTTATAATTAGAGTGGCCAGTTCTAATCAGGATATGGAAAAATTAACACAGGCAAAATAAAACAAACTAAACTAATTAACTCATAAAAACAGCATAGGAAATATAAATGATTCACATCAGGTTCGTGATCCCAACTACAAAAAGAAATTATCCAGACATATTCATGTCTGACTTAAACAAATTCAAATAAGAACAATTGTTCATAAACAAAAAAGAAAAGAAGAAGAAGAAGGAAGCTCAATGGTCTTCAGTCTTCAACTCCGGTGAAATCCTGATCTCCAACGCGAGTCTCTAAGAATTCTCTCAATTCTCTGATCCTCACTATTCTCTCCAGTCAAAGATGTCTGTCTCTGGGAGTCTGAGTCTCTATTTATAGACTTTGTGCCTTGATTAGAAATCTTGATTATATCTGCATCGTGTATCTTGGGTCCAATCTTCTCGGATTCAGCCTGAGATTTGTTTAAGAATTTCTTACGTACCTCCCACGCTGATAGCGTGGGAGTTTTGTTCAAAGTACTGGAGGTTCACGGTACTAGCATGGTTCCCACTCTGACAGCGTGGTTGGCAAGATTGGCTGGCGCTGCTAGCGCGAATGCCACGCTAACATCGTGGAGGTTCTGGATGGAAAGTTGCTTCTGGCGCTGTCAGCACCACACCCGCGCCAGTAGCGCGGGGCTTCAGGTTTGGGCTTCCAATTTGGGCTTCTTTTTGTCCTGTTTTCCTACAAAATCAGAAGGAAATCATCAGTTACACGATCTCTGATTGAGATTTATCAATTAAATAACAATTCTAGCCCTTTTATCCAAGATTGATCATTCTTTCTCTTTTTTGGCTTAAAATCATATATATGCTGGAGGCATATCACTCACTATAACCTGAAATGATGTCCCCAAACGCGGGGTGAGATATACAAATATATCTCAGTAAACCAAGGGTACTAGAGGATCACTCCACCCCATGGTTCACTCAATGTGCATACAATGATCATCATATAAAATGCATGACATACAAAATCACATCACACTGGGCTCACATCTAAGAACTCTGTGGATTCCGTTCAAGGACCCATCATATAACTCCCAGGAAGCTTCCTGGTGCCTCTCCCATGGATGAGACGACCCCATGGAAAAATCCAACTGGAACTCCTCAAGAGACCTATCCAGCAGAAGTCCCACGTTTGGATCATCCTGGTACCGCTCCCAGAGTCGGCTCCACGGCAAAACCCGACCGGAATACCCCAAAGGGATATCTCTAGCGAAAGTCCAAACCACACACATCTACTGGCCAGAGATCACAAATATGTCACACAACATGCTCCAAGCATGTCACACAATCATGTCAATAATGCATGAACATACATTTCATACAAAATCAAAGAGCACCAAATCCTACCACTATCTTCCACTAGGTGTGGCGGAACACACAAGGGAATAAACCCAAGTACCAAGAGTTTACCTCAACTCCACAAATTTTGCTCTTCCACGTAAACTCCAAGCTTAATCCACTTCTATTGATTCCGTGCGAGGTAACCTATATTCATCAATTAACCAATATCATCAACACTTGCATACAATGAATTCACGTCAAAACAATAATTCTCAACACACAACTTAGGCCTAATGGCCAACCTACCTTTAATTCAATTACCTCAACCATTTTAGTCATTAAACTAACTCACCATTTGTGCACCAAGGCATCACTCATTGGTTGTACCACATTTTTACATCATTTTCCTTATTTCTTTCCATATGGTCGAATTCTTCATGCCATTATACTCCAATGCTTTCAATTCAATTTAACCCTCACACACATCATCAAATCCTATAATTAACTCATCCAAATGCTCCACAACTCAATTATTCAATCCTCCCATCATACCAATTCACAAAGTATTGAATTTCCACTCAAAATTTTCCTAACTTATTAATTCATTTCACCAATAATTTTTATTGCATAAATCATCATCATTTATCATTCTAAGCATTTAATTCCAAAGGGAACATACCATTTAATGCTCCTAACTACCACAACTCATCTCACATAATCAAAACTCTCACCCATTTTATGATTTCAATATAAACTCCATGAGAGTGTGAAAACTTACCACCAATAGCTTCCTAGGGTCCAAGAGGACGAGTTACAACCAACCAATCAACACAAGAAAGCACCAAAATTCATAAATTTTCGTGGCTGAAATTGGGGATTTTCTCCTCACACATTGCTCCCCACAAGATGCACTCTACATGAAAGTTACTCACAAACTCAAGGGGAACAACTTTGTAGTTGGGTGTTTCTCTCAAAAGTGTCTAGAAAGAGTTAAAAATAAAGCTCCCAAACCCTCAAAAATGGTGAAGCTCCACAAGTGTAGAAGGAGAAGGAGGAGAGAGAAAATTCTGAACTTTGTGTCTCACTTGTCCATTTTGTCACTTAAATCACTTAAGTGAGTCTCACATGTCACTTAACTTTCTTAAATCATCCATTTTAATCCACGAATTCATAACCTACGTATTTTTCTCGTTCACGTCATATTTTTACTTTCTAGAAATACTGATCATATTTTCGCGCTTATCAGTACTCCTACCGCAGTATTTTACACTAGAAAAATCACTATTCATCAAATTTTCGAAACTTGCCTATCTATTCGATTTTTCGTCTTGAATGCATTTGAGGCATTATTTTTACCATTTGAGGCTTTCTACTCAATTTTTCTTGCCTAGGGTTACGTGTTTGGTATTTTACCATTTTGCCTTTTTTACGTATTTTGGCTCTAATTTTAGGATTTTCACTAATCATATCCCTTACTCTATATTTTCTCATATAATTATACATTTAGAAATACGATATGTTGTAATATTCACGCATTCTAGTTGTTACTCCACATACGCATGCAACTGAAGATGCTGGAATAGGTTTCAAGCTTTCTAATCCATCCCACATTATTTTCAATTGAGTAAAGTATTCAGAAACTGATTTCTCTCCTTGATTCAACTTATACATTTCTTCTTGTAAATCAGATACGCGAAAGATATCTGATTGTGAGAAACGATCTTTGAGATCATGCCATACGTCTGCTGCTTTCTCTATCCAAAGAATGGATTGTGCAATTGTTTCTATGATGGATCTGTGTATCCATCCGGTAATTATTGTATTGCAACGCTTCCAGGCTTGGTGAGCTGGATCATCTTCATCAGGTTCTTGAATCACACCATTAATAAAACCAAGCTTGTTTTTGATCTGAGTGCCATTGTCATTGATCGTGACTAAGAGTGATAGTTACTACCATTCAGAAGATGAGAAACTAGTATTTAAGAAGGATTTTCATTCGAATGCAGAAAGAAATGATAAGAAGGGTTGCTAAGAAATTCAGGAAGTTGCACCTGATTCTCAACGACTAAGTTTCAACAAGATATAAATTCAAAAGAAAAATTCAGAAAGGAAAGGAAATGAGATATGAGGCAGGTACCAGAGCCATTAAAGCTCTTATACCATCTTGAAGTTCAGAGAAAACAAAACTGAATTCATGAATAATACTTTTGATCAAAACTACTAAATTATCCAAGGCAATTTGTTGTTGGATTATTTCATGTCAAATTAACAATTTTTTTATACAAATAAAATAGGGATAATATAAGTAGATTAATTTAATTATCAACGAACAACAACAGTGTTAAATGTAGACATGAATGTAAAAAATCATAAAAAACGTAAGTGATAAGTAATAAAAGTGTAAATTGAATTTTTTCCATAAAAAAAATACAGAATTCCTTCTCAAATACATAAGCTCAGAATTTGTTTGCAGTGGAGAAAAATATTAAAAAAGGACAAAATACAAAAGAAATATCAATAATTTGAGATTTATTATTATTCTTTTTTTAACAGGAAAATAAAACGACTTGCTAATTTTTTATTATAATTTGAGATTTGGTAGATTTTCAAGTTCCAAATCTACCAAACTATCAACATTCAATTTCTTTTTTTGAAGTTGACATTGAGTTTGCGTGGAACGGTTGGCAAAGCGGACGAAACGGAACGGAATAATATTTTTGCATTAGTTGGGAAGCAAGTAAGAACTTGCCCCGCATATCAATGCGGTCAAAGTATTGCGTCCCCCCCCCCCCCCCCCCCCCCCCCCCCCAATTTAATCAGTAGATATTTATAAAGTATATGATAAAAACATTATAACTAAGATGTGACATTAGTGATTAAATTTTAACATGACGCAACCTGTTTAAATATTGATTTGAATATTTATAGTATTGTTTTGCTTTATAGAAAAGAAAAGCTTACTTTTTCTTTTCTTTTTTAGTACAATGAAAAGCTTAATTAGGGTATAAGCAAAATATCTTAATGTTTCACCCAACAAATAATTGATACAGGTGGACCATGATGGAACCACCTGCAGGTTGTGGGGCCCGCAACGCAAGTCTTTTGTTTCTTTTATTCTTGTCTTTAATTATGTTGCTTATCTGTAATCCAAAACACAGAAAATTAGGGCGTGGTTGATTGTATTCTAATTTTTTTTTTTATGGTTTTAATGTTTTTATCGCAAAGTAGATAAGTTATTTATACGGGGAAAAGAATTCTCATGTTACATGAGAATTCTTTCTCCTACTAGAGAGATATTGAAATGTGTGCAACAACTTTTTTTTATTTTTGTTTTTTAATGAGAGGTGAGACCCATTACTTATTGTGTCTATAGTAGGAGAATTTTTTCTCCTACAACATGAGAAAAGATGAGACCCTATTTATATTCGTACTCAAAATGATATCATTTTGAGTTGAAAAATTAAAAAATTATAATAAAAAAGACTATTATAATCATAAAATAAATTATAATTACAAAAATACTTTGATTTTCGTCTCAAAACGACGTAATTTTAGATTCAATGTAGATATATTTATCTACATTGACGGTAAAAAAAGCGAACTCTTTATTTATTCTTAAAATTATTTTATAAAATAGTTATAGAAATTGAAAACAATTATTTTTTATGTTTTGTTTTAAATTAAAAATCAAAATAAAAATAGGAAAAAATATTTCTCTGGTCTCTGGAGATAAAACGACGTTGTTTTGGGATTATAAGATTAAAAAATTATTATGATAAAGACTAATATAACTCTGTAATATATTATAATTATAAAAACATATTGATTTTTGTCCCAAAACGATATCGTTTTAGACTTATCGGTGATAACTTATCTCCATTGACTGAAGAAATCCTTTACCCATAAAAATAACGCAGATATATTCTCTAAATTTAATTTCAAAAACAAAAACAATTATAGTTTTTAAATTTTTTTCTTACAAAACAGATTTTGTCAAACAGATTTTTTTATTTTTTATTTTTCTGAAAATCAAAACAAAGCACTATGTTGTTGTTGTCGTTGTCACCTTGTCCTGCTCGTCGAGCTTAGAATCCATCCATACTTACTCCATCATGTCAGGGTACACTTACCATTCCTAATTCCATTTTTTTCTCAATATCTGTGAAGTTTAGAGTTATATATTTATTATTCTATTAATTTAATTCTGACGCGTTAAATAAATTAAATGGTTAGTGGTATTAGACCACACTGCACTTATTCCAATTTAACTTTGGTTATAGAATAGAACATTAGAATGCATGGGTTACACTAGTTTTCTTCTCTGCTTACCACTATGCTTGTTTCCTCAACATGTTGCAAAAGTGGGACTTCCAAATGGTTAAAATATTGTTCTACAAATTTCCATTTACCAAAGGGACATGAATGTTCATGTTCATGTGAATGTTCATCCCTGATGAACTTGTGCATCCACAAAGTCACCGAGGTAATCTACTGTTCCACTTTCCACTTTCCATTACACTCTGTATATTCTGCTAATCTAACCGCTGCAACTGCTTTCAATCTTTCTTCAATTAGGAGATACATAAATATAACACATTTTCTGTACTCCCAAGGGACCTGAGTCAGAAAATTTTTAACACACTGGTTTACTCACGTCGTCTCACACTTGCTTCTCTCCAAGCTTTTCGAGATTGTGCTCTCCAGGTATTTCATTTTAAAGTTCTTTGTCAATTCCCAAGTTAATTATATGTTCCTTAGCACTTTGTTGTTGTTTGACAGGATCTTTACTTGGGAGAATATGCTGGCGTTCCTGTCAATGATGCTTGGATGGATGTCATCTCATCACAGGGCTTATCTTTGCTTCATGTGGATCTTTCTGGCTCTGATGTCACTGATCATGGCCTTACCTATCTCAGACATTGCAAAAATATCATTTCTTTAAATCTTAATTACTGTCCCCAAATTTCGGATCAAGGACTGGAGTATATTAGTGGTATTCTTCTGTTTCTGCACCTGAGTTTTTCGGCCTTTTGACCATAGTGATGTAAAAAGGGGAACATTTTATTGGATTGATTCAAAATCCAAATATTTTATCAAAATAATATCGTGAGATGTGCATGGAGTGTGTGCCTTGGGGAGATGTGCAACTTGTGCATGGGCGAGGGGGTGAAGATGTGCCTGCCAGAGGCACAAGTCACGCATGAAGTGTCAGGCGGGTCAAGGGAGAAGCTTATGGCGGGGGGACCACCACCAATGGGCTAAGCTAGCCCAATGCTAGCAAGTGAATTCGACACCATGTCACAACCCAAAGCCTTAAGGTTTTGGGTTGAGACGTGGTGTCGAATCCTCTTGATATGGTGGTATAGCTTAGCCCATTGGTGGTGGTTCTCCGCCACGGGCTTCTCCCTGGACCCGCCTGACATGAGGAAGGTGCGCTCCATGTGACAATTACACATTCGTCCATGCACAAGTCGCGTACCTCCCTATATGTGTCTCACGGTATTATATTAACAAAATATTTGGATTTTGAATCAATCCGCGAAAGAGTTCACTTTTTAAGTTAAATGGGTCAAAAGACCAGAGTCTTTCCCATCTTTGCATATGCACTTACTTCATTTATTTCATATATTTGTACTTTGGGTGTCTTTTTACATGTGTTGATATTCATGCGACAATACTTAGGCCTAAAGCTTTGTTCATGATCAAATTTTTCAGGTCTCTCGAACTTGGGATGTTTGAGTTTTAGAAGAAACGATGCAATTTCTGCTCAAGGATTGAGTATCTTTTCTGGTCTTGTTAACTTGGTCAAGTTGGATTTGGAGAGATGTCCTAGGATTCATGGAGGCCTTGTTCATCTTCAAGGTTGGTTCTTATACAATGTTATGTGAAAACTCAACTAAACATTGTTCTTTGGTGCACTTCAACAACTCCACTTATTATTCAACATTTAAACGATTATTTTGATTGGATGCTTTGTTCTCTCACTTGATGGAGATATATCAAGTAGATAATCTCATTTTACTCCTTTCAAATTGAATCGTTGGTTAGGCAAGAGAGCCACGTAGGTAACCCCAAGGGATGTGATGATCTGTGTAGGGGTGTCCTTGACAGCAATGGTATGAACCAAGGCTATGCAAGGATGTCCCAAGTGATGTGTACGACAATGGGGGTGGTGTAAGATGGTTACAATAGTTCTCCAAGTTGACAGAGTAACGGCTCATACAAGTAGAGATATTGTGTGTCTGGTGGAGAAGAGGGAGCGGATATTTATAGGTTCTATGGTGGATAAGGGGAGAGAGCTAAGTCAACTATCATGGGGAGGAACCATTTAGCTTGCAAGGAACTTTGCAACTGCTGTGCAGGGAAAGTATAAAAGGGGAGGCATTTTGAGTGCTGTTCAGATAAAGGGGATGAGGGCGAATCCCAAGTAAGACATTCTGGTGTCTTATGTTGGGAAACCTATTGCATAGGTGCTGATATGGCAGAACCATCGAGGTAGGGCTGAGGTGGTTTGGACCCTTGATATTGGGCCAGGCAGAACACAAATCATTTGCATTGGATAGAAGTCTATCTCTTCATAGAGTTAGGTATTGAAAATAAAATTTGAACAAAAATTGGCTTCCATAACAAGTTGAATCCAGTTTATCAGGATCGTGTATAGTTATTGGTTTTCCATCTGTTGCAGCCCATGCATGCATTTAGTTGCCATATATGAAAGCAAATTGCAAATGAGTGCATCTCAATGGAAAAGGGGGCATGTGCACATGATGCTTCTTTATTGATACTGTAAAGAACCATTTCGACCAAAAACCTTAAGGCGGTGATGACCTTTTTAATAGTTTATATTATTCTCTAACACTCTCTCTCACGCAAGAACCCTTTGGACTTGAAGTGTGGATTACATAGTCCCAAATTTTTGTTGTTTACCTTGTGCTTAATTAATTCCACTTTGAAAGTGGGATTACTTAATCCGTATCCTCACACGAGAGCACTTTGGGCTTGGAGCGTGGACAATGCAACAGGCCCAGCCTACCTGTGCTAAGAAACTCCACAAGAGAAAGTGGGGGGCAGCGAGGCTCTGATACCATGTAAAGAACCTTGGGATACACCACCCTGAAAGCTAGCTCAAAGGGTGGGAGTGCCCAAAGCCTTATAAACTCCACATTAGGTGCACATACAATCAATGTGGGACTATATATCTCAACACGCCCCCTCACACGAGAGCCCATTGGGCTTGAAGAGTGGACAATGCAACAGGCCCAGCCTACTTGTGCTAAGAAATGCCACTGGAGAAAGTGGGGGGCGGCGAGGCTCTGATACCATGTAAAGAACCTTGGGATACACCACTCCAAAAGCTAGCTCAAAGGGTAGGAGTTCCCAAGTCCTTATAAACTCTACATTAGTTGCACATACAACCAATGTGGGACTATATATCTCAACAGTGGGGATGGTGAGGATCGAATTCATGACCTCATAGTCACTGAAGCTCTGATACCATGTAAATAACCATTTCAACCCAAAACTTTAAGGTGTTGGGGGAGGGCCTTTTTAATGGTTTTATATTATTTTCTAACATTCCATAGCATCAATATCAATAATAGAATAACATTCCTACCATGCGGTTCAAGAACTATATAATTCTCTAACAGATACATTGAATTTGCGGAATGGTAGTATCCTCCTTTGTATCTCTTTTGCATGAGATGGTCTAGTTATGGCTATTAAATGCAGGATTTGATAGAAATGAAAATTGATAGAACCAATAAATGCTTGAGTGATTATAATCAAGAAAACTGGAAGTGTGGGCATATAACTGCAATGATTAAAAGCCTGTGTGGGTGTTGTCTTCCCCTATTCATGGCAAAGATTGACTGAAGTTTACATGCCTTATAATACTGGTATACAGTTGAGAAATTTATCTACAATTCAATGATATGATCTGTATTTTTCAGGTTTAACCAGGTTAGAATCTCTCAATATGAAGTGGTGTAATTGCATAATAGATGATGATATGAAGCCTATATCAGGTTAGTTGCCACTGAAATTTTGAATAATTGAGAATTTTACCTGAGGCTAACTGTCTACACTTCTATTATGCAGTTAGTGTGTTTTCTACCTTATAGCAGTTCCTGTTAAGTTTATTGGTATCCCCTCTTCATGTAGAACAATAAACTTGGAGTACACCTCTAGGGCAGAGTACTCCTCTAACTAGGGTTTCACATGCTCTACGAGGGAAATGAAATCCCAATCACATAATTATGCAAAAGGTGTGTCAAATGTTTACACTGATTGTCTCATAACCACACATAATATCAAAATAACCCTATTCTATACTGGAATAAGATAATCCAACATAGGATAAAATTCCTAAAAAAATAATCTCAAATGAAAAACCCAAATTTCAAAATTAAAATCCTAAAACTACTTACCCATTTTTGCATCACCTCTCTTAGGAACTACCAAGAACTTATTACAAGACTATTTTTTAACAAATGAAATGAGATGTACTATTCTCATCAAAGGAGTTTCTGTCAAATAATGGCTCATTGCATTATGACAAATGTTGGTTTTATGATGTCTTATGTGTGGGTTTACTTTCATAAATTTTCTTCCTCTATACCTCTTACCACTTACTATGCTACTTTGAAGGTCTTTTGCCTTCATTAGGTGTTAAAACTGGAAGACAATAAATGGAATTATCCATGTAGGCCAGAACATGTTGCAGTGACCGTGTTTGACAACCATATAATAGTCAGTGTGCATTAGTGTTATATGATCATAACCATTGTATTCTCAGTATTACATTTCCTGAAAGGGGATACATGTTTCAATAACTAATGGTACAATTTATTTGATTTAATTTACTTCCAGAGCTTACAAAGTTGAAAAGCCTAGAGATTTCCAGCAGTAAAGTCACAGATTTTGGCATCAGTTTTCTAAAAGGTATTGTGCCTTGCATTGTTAAGAGCATCAGGGAATATATGATTATCTTATACCAGTTAAGATATTTTTATAGGTTTGTGTGTTCAGAAAGGTTTATATCCTGTAACAATGCTTCATTATGATATTTTCTCTCCTGGAGTGCGAAACTTGAAACTGATAGGTTCAACATAGCATTGTCATCTTCTTCATTGTTGCAGCAGTGTCATCTCTCATATGTGTGATTTTGAAGGATAACTTAACTCTCTTTTTTTTTAAATAAAAAAAATAAAAAATCAGTCAAGACATTCAATCTCAATTGTGTCTTTTACATGTGGTTTCTAGTTGTGTAAAAACTAGAGTTCAATTGGGTGGGTGGGTGGGGGGGGGGGGATGCATTCTTGAAAAAATCTATTTCGTTGATGATATAAAAAATTTCCACTTATCCTTCTAAGTAGATATTGTGAAGTTCATTAGCAAACAAGTTGTGGTATCAAGTCTTAGAACATGCATTTTGCATGCCATCATTAATTCCAATATGCACTGGTTTTATTTTTCTAATGTACTGGATATTTGTTAATGGTGTCTCAGTGCCGATGTATAAGTGTCTCTGATCATCAGTTTTAAATGAAGTTTTGAGTTTCACTGTTTAATATTCATCTTTCTTTCTTCCATTTTTAATAATTTCTCAGCTGATTTCAGGATTAAAAAAGCTTGCTTTATTAAATTTGGAAGGGTGCCTTGTAACAGCTGCATGCTTGGATTCTCTTGCAGGTTAAATTACTTCATAGATTTCTTTTATGCTGATTCTGTCATGGTAATATTAACTAGTTGTTAGGATATAATCTTGGTTATTGCCCCGTAAATGCTTGAAAGCTTAAAGCTGAACCACATTGTGTTTATTGGGATGCCTTCGGCATATCACTCTCAAAAGATTGTGATTTGAGCAAATTTTTGAGTCGAGGGGGATGTAATTTTTGGATTACATTCAAATATTTTTACAGATTTATTTGTTATTTGTTTTAAGCTTCTCAATGTCAGCATAGTATTTATCTTTTTGCTTTTATTAACAAGTATACTATTTTGAATCAGTTGCTTCTTTTGTTGGATGTAATAAGAAGTTTAACTTGATTGCCTCTCTCTATTATACAATGAAACTGAAATATCTACGGAAGTTTTAATTTGACATTGTTTTGTTCTCTGCCAGAGCTTCCTGCCCTGTCAAACTTGAATCTTAGTAGATGTAATCTTTCTGACAATGGATGTGAAAAGTTTTCACGTAAGTTGTTAATACTTGTTTAGCTACTTAGTATATATTTGCTTATTGAGATTCACTTTGTGGCACCATAAGAATTCTTGGGGGTACTAAATTTGTAGCATTGGCTTCTTTTTTCAGGACTGGAAAATTTGAATGTATTAAACTTGGGATTTAATGGCATAACAGACGCATGTTTAGCACACTTGAAAGGTGATTTGAAAAATTTGAAATTTATGCAAGTATAGTTGCTATAAGTAACAAGCCACCTATAACATAAATGTAAAGAACCAATTCAACTTAAAATCTTAAAGTATTGGGTGAAGGCCTTTTTAATAATTTATATTATTCTCTAACATATCCTTTCACGCAAGAGCTCTTTGGACTTGAAACGTGGATATTGCAATGGCCAATTATTTTGGTTTACCTTGCGCTTATTTAATTCCACTAGGAAGTGGGGGGAGATGAGGATCGAACTCGTGACCTTGTGGTCACTGAAGCTTTAATACCATGTAAAGAACCAATTCAACCCAAAATCTTAAGGTATTAGGTGAAAGTTTTTTTAATGTTTTATATTATTCTCTAACAATAAAGTAGATAGACACCTGTACTTGTTCACTCTTCACTGTCTTAGATGCAAGTTTTACCTTCTATTGAGGCAGCTGGGAAGCAAGATCTGACCTTGCCATGACTGCAAGATGTGAGATCAGTCAAATCACAATTTAATGAGAAATGTTAAATAACTCTGAAGTTATGCTAAAATTACTGTTGCAAATTATGTGACCGCCAAGTCAGCACTGCCAAGTCGTAAATTAACCAAACAATTATGAAAACAAATGAAAAAAAGTTATTCGGAATAAAACATAACATGATTTATTGTAAATATTCTTCATGTGTCACCTCAAAAGTCAGCACTGCTATTGACTTGGAATGTCATAACAATAATTTTGATGCAACTTTTGGACCATGTAGCTTTACTCTAATTTATTGACTGTTTGACAAGTCCACCTTTCTAAGGATATATCTAAAAGCACACTAAATCCAAAATCGAGTTAAACCATGGGGACTAATTGCTTGTTTTACCTTATTTTTTTAAAAGCAGAATTGAAAAATTTGAAGAGCTTGAACCTGGATTCATGTAGGATTGAAGATGAAGGATTGGTCCACCTGGCAGGTAGATGCTTGAAACTCTTGAGAAATTCTTGGCTAGGTATTGCCTACCATAGGCATTCCATTCAATATTAAACATGTTTTGTTGGAACCAGGTTAAAATTGCACTAATCTTTAAACAACAACTCCACATGTTTACTAAGAAATGGAATGCCTAAGAGATGATGTGGTAAGCAATGTCTAAGCAAGAATTTCTCATCTTAATTATGATTAACAAAGTAATTCTTGCACTGTGCATTGGTTTCTGATTTGATTTTTTTGTTCTTTCCTTATAGCAACTCTACTTGCATAAATTTACACTTGTACACTCCTCACGTATATGTGAAGTCATTGGATAGTAATCTGATGTAATTATGACTTATTTTTAATGGATTATGTCCATTCCCCACAACTATGTAAAGTCATTGTACTGCATAATGGGCAACTGAGGGGGGTTTTCTTGTGCTGTGTTGCTTTTTATTATTCTCAGCCCAGTGAGACAGCACTAGGCCTACCAATGTCTACCCAGCAGCCCAGCTCCAAGCATACACCATCAGACCATTGGGCTGTTTGGGCCAAATTTTCTGTGGGCTATTATTTTAATGACCCAACCCTTTTTTGTGGGCTATTTGGACTTGTCCCATTTTGGCAGCCCTACTAAATGTGATTACTAATTGCATGTGAATGCTTTTACCTTGTAGGCCATCAACAATTGAATTGCTTGGAACTTTCTGATACGGAAGTTGGAAGCAATGGACTACACCATTTATCAGGTTAGATATACCACCTTATATTACTTTAACCAAAGTTTATGCGCTTTTATAGTTATTTACTTTGTGAGTAACTTGTTCTTGGACTTTCATTGTAATGTAGTATGCTTTAATCCAAGGAGTATTGTATGCATGAGCTATAGTGATGTAGAATTCTGTGACCATCTTTGCCATGGACTCTAGTTTTGCTATTTTTATTATTTTGTTATTATATTTCTTGTAGGATTGTCTAGTCTGGAGAAAATAAACCTGTCATTCACTATGGTTAATGATGCTGGTTTAAGAAAATTGTGTGGACTCTCATCTCTCAAGTCTCTAAATTTGGATGCTCGCCTAGTTACTGATACTGGACTGGCAACCCTATCAGGTATGTGTTCCTATGCAAATTTACAATGCAAAGAATGGTTTGTTTATCTTCGGGAGGCTTCTAAATGTTTCATTACCTCAGGTTTGGAATGTTACCATTGATTTCGTGCTATAATCTTTCCTAGAGTTGGCTACTTTATTTTTCCAAAACATTAATTGCATAATGCATCATTGTGAATTTACTGATGCAGGTTTGACTGGGCTTACTGACCTGGATTTGTTTGGTGCTCGAATCACAGATTTTGGAACAAACTATCTGAAAAGTATGAAATATTGTAATAATATTAGTTTCCAACATGTGGTTTTCTTCTATCTTTCATCTTTTTGTTTGTTTCTTACTGTTAAATAAGAAATAGAATCAAGTCTAGTTATAATTATTCAGTACTGTTAACTTGCATGAATTTGATTTAGTATGTAAGGTAATTATAAAATGCATGTATCTTAGTTCATCAGGCTTCAGCTACCAGAAATGTAATTATATTGGACTCATAAGTTTGACCTGACCACTAAAATCTCAGATGTGATAACTGTAACAATTAGTTTGTCCATTTTACCTCCCTCTCTTCAAGATTTGTTGGTCTCTCATGTAAAAATTATGACATCTACATTGATTTGGTGAAACTCTTTTATCAATCAATCTTCAGAATCAATCTTTATTCCCTTTGTGGTTAGCTGTATTATGTAGAATTAACTACTAGTTAGTGTTAGTTCTTTGACTAAGCCCCTTTCAATTGTAATTTGAATTCATAATTTGGGAACTGTGTTTATGGCAAAACAGACTTTAAGAACCTGAGGTGGCTGGAAATATGTGGCGGAGAATTGACTGATGATGGTGTGAAAAATATCAAAGAGCTTTCATCTCTGATGCGCTTAAACTTATCGCAAAACTGCAACCTTACAGACACTACCTTGGAGTTAATTTCTGGTATTTTTTCGTACCTTTATTTTGTTTTAGAAACAAGTTTACTTTTGTTTTCCTTCTGAGCAAGTGGAAAAGCCAAAATAATCACATTAAAAACCACTCCCTGTTAAACCTGACTAGCGAGTGTGGGGTGGAAGAAATCCTTATACGCAGCCTTACCCTTGCATAACTGCAAAAAAGCTGTTTCCTGGATTAATCACATTAACAAATAAAAATCAAAACGGAAGTTATAGGGCCTCCCAGTGAACTTAGTTATCTGCTTTATTTATTCTTTACTGGTCACTTTCCTTGGCTCCTCTTGTTTTTGAAAAATTCTTTTACAATTAAGTTGTCTTACTTACATTAGTGGATGTTAGACTTCTCTTGATACTTCACGGAAAGCAGCAATATCTAAATGTTTGGTATAATTTCAATTGCATGATCATAGCTGAAAAGTAAGCTCTAGACATAATGGTCTTGTTGCATGAGAATCATAACTGCAATAAATTTTCCACGTACATTTTCTTGGTGTTTTAATAATGAAAAACACATGGTTGCATTTATTGCCTTGGATCTTTGTGAAACTAAGTATAGGTGGTTGTAATTAACTCTTTGTGCCAACTAAGTTATATGCACGCAATTTCAGGGCTTACTGATTTGATTTCTTTGAATGTATCAAATTCTGGTATCACCAATGCTGGGCTGCATCATTTGAAAACACTAAAGAACTTGAGGTCTCTGTCATTGGAGTCCTGTAAGGTGACAGCTAATGGCATTAAGAATCTTCAATCAACAGAACTCCCGAATCTGGTTAGCTTTAGGCCCGAGTAGTTGGGGTGGTATCCTAATATAGTCTATATTATATTATAAACTTTGTACTAACATTTGCATGTGTTAGAAAACTATGGAAAGACAACCTCAAATTGTTTATACTATATATTGGCTATGGCTTCATGAAAGGTTTGAATTGCCTCTTTTGCTTGCTATGAAGTTTTCTATTATTTTATTATTGTATGATATATAAGGTATGTATAGAACATCTGTATTTCATGTGGGTTTGTGCATGAAAGTATGAAATGTAAATCTGCACTAATCCATAAATGTAATGGTTTAAATTATGAATTCAGTAATATTATAAGTTGTCACTCATCACCTAGTCTGGTTTGAAAATTGAAATAATAATAATGAAATATAATGGATACTGGATTGAAATTTTTTATAGGAAATATTTGTATTATTACTATTTGATCCTGCGGCACGGCCCAGTCATAATAAAGGACTCCTGATGTTAAGATGTTCAATCTCTTATTGTTGTGCAAAACGAATATTCATCTTTGTGTTAATTTGGAAGACTGAGTTATCTCTAATTATTATATTCATCCTGCACTTTAAATGTTATTTTGGTACGTATATATTTTATTTAATCATTTTTTGTCCCTGGATTTATTAATTTAATATTTAAATGAATTAAATAGTAAATATTTAATTGTTTAAAAACTAATTTTAATATAACTATAAGCTTGTTTATAATTTTAAATATATAAGGTGACATTTTAATCTCAGTTTTGTAAGATACTTACAAATATTTGTTAATATAATACTTTAAATTAAAAATTAGTAAATATTTCTTGTAAGAATAAATTTACCCCGTGAGTTTTGTAAGATACTTACAAATATTTGTTAATTAATATAATACTTTAAGATAAAAGTATTTTTTCAATCATTGGAGATAAAGTTATTTCCAGTGAGCGCAAAACGACATCATTTTGGGTTGTAAAATTAAAAAATTATAATGATAAAGACTAATATAACCCTGTAATAAATTGTAATTACAAAAAAATCATAATTTGTGCCAAAACGATATCGTTTTGAACTCATCGGAGATAATTTATCTCCATTGACTTGAGAAATTCTTTACCCATACTTTAAATTAAAAATTAGTAAATATTTTTGTAAGAATAAATTTACCCACTCATTTACAAATTTTTTGTATGAATTAATTTATTTACTCTTACATATTAAATTAAACTATATATTTTAAGAACAATTTAATCTTTATTTTCTCGTAAAAACAATATTTTCTACAACACCACTCGCTAGCAGAGGATTACGCAAAATTTCACAGACTAAATATTGACATCATAATAAGCAAGAAGAGTATAACATAAGTATTCAGCAGAGTACATTAAGTTACCAAAAATATAATTCTAGTGACAATCCCTTATAGCTCATTACACAACAAAATGTCATTTAGATACATAATCCATATTTCAAAGTAGTAAATATCAGCATCAAACAAAATACAACAATCATACCAGCTTGGAACCATCCTCTTGGATCTTTGGACCTGCCACATGAACCCACAAGGTGTGAGAATTTTCTCAATAAGAGGTTCTATCTCTCTTCTTACCACTCATCCAAGACAAAAATAGTGCAGCAGCATTAAAAAAAGAAAAAAAAATTATGCACATTAATTCAATGGTTCCATAGCATCAATATCAATAATAGAATAACATTCCTACCATGAGGTTCAAGAACTAATTTCAACTTAATACTATGCGTGCAACTAGCTGACCTATGCGCATATTTGAGCTCAAAATACTGTGAAACGTCGCAAACATTGCCGACTATCATATTCCTCAACTTGCAGAATATGGCACGAGAAAATTTCACAATTACAATGTTATAAATGTATATATACTCTATTACAATAATTTTAAGCGCTCATAGAACAAGGCAAATGAAAGATATAGTCGTAAGTATTCCCTGTTAAAGTTGTGTCATAAGTTTAATTCTTCTTTCAACTCATACCATAAAGAATCACATGGCTGGTTTGGCTATAACATGACACATCCAATCACTTTGTCTTTCATATAAAGCACACAGGACAACATACATATATGCAATCACATGGCACATGGCTGTGTGATAAGTGATTCCATCATAAGGCAAGTTTCGTACATACTATTTTATCCATGGTTCCAATATAAAGTTTATAAACACGATTACATATAGGAAAATCAAAGATTTCAGCACATTAAAACAAGGAACACAAGTTTGGGCTTTTGCCACAAACTTATATCAAAGACTGGGAATGCATTTTTGTTTCAAAAATTCTGAATTTATGATATGTCAAAGTAGACATCAAGAGCTTTCTAACGAGACATAGATCATACCATTTGGATAGTATACCTCAAGATCATCCTACTTTAAGACTGCTGTTCAGAAACAGGTGTACTGACAGGACAACTGACTTTGAACGAAAACTGGGAATGCATCTAATATCCATAAATTCTGATATTTGAACACATGAAACAAGACATCTAGGGATTTCTAATGGTATATAGATCAATAGATCAAGATATGCCTACTTTAAGACTGCTGTTCAGAAACAGGGTGTACTGACAGGACAGCTGACTGAACGAAAACTGGGAATGCATCTAATATCCGTAAATTCTGATATTTGAACACATGAAACTAGACATCTAGGGATTTCTAACGGTATATAGATCATACAATTTGGATTAGTATAGATCAAGATATGCCTACTTTAAAACTTCTGTTCAGAAACAGGGTGTACTGACAGAACAACTGACTTTGAACGAGAACTGGGAATGCATCTAATATCCATAAATTTTAATATTTGAACACATGAAACTAGACATCTAGGGATTTCAAATGGTATATAGATCATACAATTTGGATTAGTATAGATCGAGATATGTGTGCTTTAAGACTGTTGTTGAAAAACAGATTATACAGATAGGACAGCAAACTTCGAATGAAATCTGGGGACAAACCTGTCATTCAAAAAATTTCACACGCTCCAGATTTGCAGAGCTTCCAATTAGCTTTAAGTGGCCACAAGTTTCATTCAATTTCGACAACTCTAGCTCAAGTTATCACCAAATTAGTGCGGACATGTTATCTAGTAACTAAGGACAGTATCTACTCATTTTTCACTCAGTCTAACATTTCATCAAACACTCAATATGCATCCAATATAACTAGAAGAAACATGCCAAAGTACAACTTCAGAACCCTATTATCATCACACAATTGAAAGAAGATCTAGATTACTATGGGGGAACAATTAGGATTCAACTAGAAAATAACACAAAGAGATGCCAAAATGAGGTTAAAGAAAAATAACATACAGTTAAAGAAAATGTTTACTCTCTTACCTGGAGTCAACTGGAAATAACATACAGCTAAAGAAAGAAAAATAACACATAAGAGATGCCAAAATGTTTACTCTCTTACCTGGATTCAACTGGAAACTTGTCAAGTAGTAGGGCGGAACAATTAGAATAATTTGTAGGCACAATCAAGCGCAGGGATTGAATTGGTGACTGCATGGAAGTAAAATTCAAATAAGGACAAAGTTTTATTACAAGAAAGAAAAATAAATACTTAAGATGTATATGGTTTAAAAGTTCTGAGAGCTCACCATCTGTGCTGAAGCATATTGGGATTTTAAGCTTGGGCTAAGAGCCACAGTACTGAAAGAACATTTGACAATGGTCCCTTCTTCTCCTTCAGCAGCAGCAGCTGCTGCAGTTGGATCAACTTCTTCATCGCTTATGTCTACTATAGTGTCAATAAGTTGCTGATTAACCTCCTTAGTTTCTTCCAAAAGGGCATGATTAGCCTGCCATATAAGACACACAAATTCATTATCAGCAATCAAAAACTGTCTAGAGAAAATCCATAAACTTTAAAGTGACTCCCTCACAATCCTAACTTTAGAATTACTTTTAAACCTATTATCTGATGAATCATCAAGCTCTAATGAAACGGATGTCCATGGCTAATCCAGAACATGCAAAATCCTGGTCATTATATAACGAATCCAATTGAATACCCAGGTCAACAATTCAAGACCTAATACGAGAGTTACTCACACCAGCAATAGGTTCCATGTTCTAAGCTCATGTCACCCTTGATTATTGTTCTTAAATGGGGAGGATAATGATCGTCTGTAAAAATGAGAAAAATTATCAATCAAACTAATTAAAAATTAACAAGAAGTATAATTGCGATTGTTGCATGCTACTACAACCAATACTATTATTGCTATAGTTGTTTCTCTTGATTGATTGTGAATGTTACTATTTTACTCTAACATTTAGTAACACTTGAATCTTTAAAAGGCAGGTTTACTTATTAAATTGATCCAATTAATATCAAAAGAGAAAATCTATTTAGTAATTCCTATCTGAAATTTTTACTTCATAAGTTAACAGCCATACAACAATGTCCTGAATACATCATAATCAATGGTATAAATTATTTTTTATCTTTTGATATATGTACAAAATATTGGTAGTTGCAAATAACTTATCCCAGCCGGTATCTTGTGTGTTGCACTAATTGTGTTTGAATTTCATGCATCAAAAGCTCTAATTCAATTGGTTGATTCCCGTAGTAGGATATCGATAGTGAATTTTGATATATAGTCCCTATATGATATGTTTCACTATCTAAATGAAAATATGAAATTGTGCTTTTCTACACATCTGTAAATTGAACTAGCTGCACTTTTTGAATCTAAATCCTTGTAGTCAGAAATATCAAAATGCACAAACTTCTAGCTGGGAAAAACATTCTAATTGAAAGAAAGGGTGAAAAGTAATGTACATAATGTGTTGGTGAATATATATTCAATGTATTGATGCCCATTAATAATTGCAATGGCAGGCCTAAAAATTAAGACACTGATAGTAAAATATGTCAATTATAAAATAAAATGTAACAACTAAAAAAAAAAATTTACCGCAATCCTTGGCTTCTTGATACTAGATGTTGCAGTTGACTCCAAATCAGAAGCCTCCAAAGCAGTTAACTGATGATATTGTTGTTTGAATTGTTGAGTCTGCAACATCTGTTGTTCCTGATGTTGTTTTAGTTGCTGGTGTTGAAGTATACTTGAACCTGGCTGAAGGGGATTAAGATTTGGTTTGATCACGTTTACCCCAGCTTGTGAAGATAAGGAGTTAACATTAGATTGTTGAGGAGCGCTAACAGTGTTTTGTTGAAGGGAGCTCATTGGAACCTGTTGTAGGGAGTTCATAGCATTTCCTTGTCCTGAATACAAATTGGCACTAGTTTGCATTGAATTCATCATATTCTGATGTGTAGTGGATAACCCAGGCAGAGAATTAGGTTGCATACTTGTCATATTATTCTGCTGCATTGTTGCTACAGAACCTCGTATATTTGTCGTTTGCAACTGAGTGTTCATTTGATTTTCATGAGACTGCACCTGAGTAACTTGGGATTGTGACTGTGACAGGGAGTGCATATGGGGAGGGGGAAGCTGTCCTGGTTGCAGTGAAGACACTGTTTTCCTAGACCTATTTGTATTTATGAAATTTATGATCTGCTTCTCACATGGACCAAGTATCTCCTTGAAATGAGGTGTAATGTTGCTCTTAGAAACCTGGAGGAATGTTATAATGCGCTCCAACATAATTTTAAATACCTTCAGCTTTTCAAGCTGCTCTGACTTTGGTTGGTTGGGAAGGGAATCATGCTGATAGAGAAGAGAAGATACACAGTTAAACACAGTAAAAATAAGTTATAAGGAAACACGAAAGTAATAAAGAGCCTCCTTTAAGGAAGGGCGATGACTTGATAATGCTTAGCATACACTGCAATCCAGGATAATTATAATGGAAAAGGCTTCTCTGTCCATAGCGGCTATTAGAAAGTTGCCTTTAAAAACATACCTGCTGAAATTTAGTAGCAATTTTCTGGTACACTTCATTCAACTCTGGCAAGTAATTTTCTTTCATGGTTTTGATCTGTAAGTTAAAATTATCAGAATCAAATAATAATGCATTAGAAACCTTGAAATCTCTCATCCAAACACATATGATAATGCAGTTGCATCAATATATATAGAAAGGATAAGTCTATTTTTTCTCGTCCTTTTGTAAGGCATCTCGCAAGTTTCATTTTCATGCTTAAATTGAGAGGATGTAAACCATCCATGTACATAAGACCATAGCTTTGAATATTGAATTGAAAACTTTTAAAAGTTATCAATGCAATACCACTCATATCAACCCAGAATCAGATAAATAATTATAATGAGTCGTTCTTGATGCCAGCAACTTATAGAGGATAAAAGCTAGTAATAAAAAAAATAACCATAAACATTGAACAGTACGGATTTAAGAAGAGTTTCCATTTTTTTCCTTCAAAAGACTAATGAAGAGTTCTGCGTTCTGACTATTAAGAAAATTCCTCAGAATAAAGCTATCAATCTTCATTATTATCAATCTACATTATATTATTTTAAGTTTTATTTGACAAATTTCTGATGTTCAACCCAACTTACTGAAGAAAAATATGATAAGAAAATAGTATATTACCTTTTGATACACTTCTTCTTGCCAATCACCTCCACTTGGCTGTCCAGTCTGTGCTGTTGAATCAAGAGAATCTACAACAGATATTATATGTTACATAGATAAGAAGCATACAAGGCTAAAAAATATGGATATTTGCTTCTTTATTAAAAAATAAAAATAAAGAATGGGTGAGGTAACTGCAAATTAACTTATAAGAACATTATGCTATCAATTACAAAAAAAAAAAAAATATTGCAATATCTTGTGATTTCACAAAGATGCTTTAAGGAAGTTTGGGGTTATCCTATGGACTAGGCTGAGAAGTAAAGGCCTTGTGCTATAATCATAAACTCAAGTTAATATATGTATATAGTAACGGCATCACCACAGAATTTCTGAAGACTGCCCATAAGTAGCATTCAGACAAGGCAAAAATAAAATGAAAGAAGGTTAAACATTCCAGAAATGGAAGATTTAGATGTGTCAGGCAAGTATAGGGCGAGCCTGTGGCGGGGGACACCACCATCAATGGGCTAAGCTATACCAATTGAAGCAAGTGGGTCCACCGCCACATCTCAACCCAAAACCTTAAGGCATTGGGTTTATGAGTCCATCCACTTATATTCACTTCACTTAGTTCATTATCAACCAATGTGGGACTCCATCAATCTTGAAAATCCCAACAATCTCCCCCTCAAGTATGAAATCCATCATTGGTACGCTCCCCCTCAACCGAGTACCCCGGGTCCAAGTACTCAACCTGCCTTTAACCAATCACCAGGCTAGCTCGAGCTCAACTTGGCTCTACCATTATCAGGCGGGTCGAGGGGGAGCCCGTGGTGGGGGACACCACCATCAATGGGCTAAGCTACACCAATTGTAGCAAGTGGGTCAGACGCTACAACTCAACCCAAAACCTTAAGGTATTGGGTTCATGGGTTCATCCATTTATATCCACTTCACTTAGCCCATTACTAACCAATGTGGAACTCAATCACACTTTAAAATCCCAAAGGTTGAATATTCCAAATATGGAAAATTTTGTGCAATCCCGCCAATCCCAATACTCCTGGGTTTGGCATCTCAGCAGCTAAAGAAACCAAGCCCAAACCTAGAACCAAACGAAACTAATCCGGCATTTAGCAAAATCATCTTATCTGCTACAACACAGTGTCCCTCATTGATCAAAACGGAAAGTGTGAGTTTATTGATCTGAAACATGACACTGGGAGTGAGTTCTGTGCTACTGTTCTACCATTGCTTCTGGTTTGGCCTGCCTTTGTGATTTAGTTTTGAGGAGGTGGTGCTGTTCTGCTCTAGCCCTTGACCTTGAGACACTGGCGCTGCGATTTGTTAGTTAGGAAACCTTATATTGCATTAATTTTAGAAGAGGTGTTGTGCAATTTTGTCTCTGGGTGATTATCTTTATTTCAAAAAATAAAAAATTAGAAAAGAAAAAAAAAGGAATGAAAAAAAAAAAAAAAATATATATATATATATATATATTCAGAAAATCCTTGTTGTTCGGTTCTTGTTTCTGTTTTTATTGTATTACATTTTGCTGTCCAGCCCTAGCAATTCACTGAAATGTCAATATTTTGTTTTTTAATGTTGTTATTTATATCTACTTGTAACCTTTGTCCTATTAGAGTGCATAGACCACCTTTTTTTGGGTAAATAGGGATTAGGCCTTCTTACAGACTTTGATGCCAGAAAAAGCGGCTAAACAGAAAGTTAAGATTTTCACAAAAGAGTAATCCTCCGGTTCTCAATTTTCAATTCTCAAAATAATAAAATTCAACTACTAGAACAAGGGTCATAAGCACCCTTTTATAGACTAATTAGAAATTGATTCAAAATTCAAAAATTTAAAATCCAAAAAATAAGAAAACTTCCTAAAATAAATATAACAATAATTAGATTCTAAAAATAAATAAATAATTACAATTAAATCATTCAAAATACGTCCCAAATCTTTAATCTCAAATCACGCCAAATGTGTTGCTTTCCTTTTCTTCCCAAACAAATCACAATCACATCTGCTGCTTTATTGGGACTTGGATTCGATTATAATTTGTTATATTTCAAATCATTGCCTTTTTCAACAATTGGATCATACTTATTGGGCACAACTCTAGTCGACTACGAGCTTCTTGAATCAATGGTTGGGCCATGTACAATGGGTCAACTGTAAGTGCATCAGACTTACATGTATTATGTATTTTGAATAAGAGTTTATTTTAATGTTAATTGTGATTTCAAAGTTATTCTGCCTGTTTGTGTTATATATATATTTTTAATATATTTTTATGTTAGAGGGAGTGTCACAATTTACATGTCTACCCCCTAAATGATCCTAGGTAGTAGGTAGGATCTACGAGTTTGACAACTTTGGAACCATCAAATTACAAAAGATAAGAGACACAAAGAAAAATGCATAATCACAATTTTACATACTTGATGAAGTTTCTGGAAGGGGTCTTTGTGATTGATATAAATTCTGTGTTGTGGATAACCCAGACAAAGAATTATGCTGCATGCTTGTCATATTATTCTGCTGCATTGTTGCTACAGAACCTCGTATATTTTTCGTTTGCAACTGAGTGTTCATTTGATTTTCATGAGACTGCACCTGAGTAGCTTGGGATTGTGACTGTGACAGGGAGTGCATATGGGGAGGGGGAAGCTGTCCTGGTTGCAGTGAAGACACTGCTTTCCTAGACCTATTTGTATTTATGAAATTTATGATCTGCTTCTCATATGGACCAAGTTTTTCCTTGAAATGAGGTGTAATGTTGCTCTTAGAAACCTGGAGGAATGTTATAATGCGCTCCAACATAATTTTAAATACCTTCAGCTTTTCAAGCTGCTCTGACTTTGGTTGGTTGGGAAGGGAATCATGCTGATAGAGAAGAGAAGATACACAGTTAAACACAGTAAAAATAAGTTATAAGGAAACACGAAAGTAATAAAGGGCTCCTTTAAGGAAGGGCGATGACATGATAATGCTTAGCATACACTGCAATCCAGGATAATTATAACGGAAAAGGCTTCTTTGTCCATAGCGGCTATTAGAAAGTCGCCTTCAAAAACATACCTGCTGAAATTTAGTAGCAATTTTCTGGTACATTTCATTCAACTCGGGCAAGTGATTTTCTTTCAAGGTTTTGATCTGTAAGTTAAAATCATCAGAATCAAATAATAATGCATTAGAAACCTTGAAATCTCTCATGCAAACACATCTTTAATGTGGTTGCATCAATATATATAGAAAGGATAGGTCTATACTAGCATTCGTGGTCAATATGGTACTTGTTGCTTGTTGGAGGACAACACCATAACGGTCCTTGTTCGAATGCTGGTAGAGTCCAAAAATAGAAGAAAGGATAGGTCTATTTTTTCTCGTCCTATTGTAAGGCATCTCACAAGTGTCATTTTCATGCTTAAATTGAGAGGGTGTAAACCATGCATGTAAGGTACCCATGAGACCATAGCTTTGAATATTGAATTGAAAACTTTTAAAAGTTACCAATGCAATACCATTCATATCAACCCAGAATCAGATAAATAATTATAATGAGTCTTTCTTGAAGCCAGCAACTTATAGAGGATAAAAGGTAGTAACAAAAAAAATCACCATACACATAGAATAGTATGGATTTAAGAAGAGTTTCCATTTTTTTTCCCTCAAAAGACTAATGAAGAGTTCTGCGCTCTGACTATTAAGAATATTCCTCACAATAAAGCTATCAATCTTCATTATTATCAATCTACATTATTTTATTTTAGGGTTTATTTGACAAATTTCTGATGTTCAACCCAACTTACTGAAGAAAAATATGATAAGAAAATAGCATATTACCTTTTGATACACTTCTTCTCGCCAATCACCCCCACTTGGCTCTTCAGTCTGTGCCCCCATAAGCTGTTGCTGCTGCTGCTGTTGTGGAGGCAATATTGATTGTTGAGTCATTGGTGTTTGTTGCTGATGAATAATAGAAGTCTGTTGTTGTGGCTGTTGCCTGATAACTTGGGGGTGTTGCTGAAGCATTGACTGTGTTGACTGTTGAATATTATTAGACTGCTGATTGTGCTGAATGCTAGACAGAGAAGATGTTTGCATCATGGAAGGCTGCTGCATAACAGATGGTGTTTGCATGACAGATTGCTGAGAAGATTGCAATTGATTTGATTGTAGAAGGTTCTGCTGTTGCTGTTGCTGCTGCAGCTGGAGCTTATGTTTCAAAAGCTGCAGTTGAAGCTGTTGCTGTTGGTACAGATACTGCTGTGGATTCTGTGACTGCTGCTGTTGTTGTTGGGGAACAACCTGCTGCCTTCCTTGCATTTGTCTCTGGGAACCAGCAAACATATTTTGCATGTGGGAATTCTGGCCAATAGTGCTCCCTACTAAAATCTGTCCCGGTATGTTCTGCATATTGGAATTCTGGCCAACATTTTGGATGGAAGTCCAGGCTAGACTAGATACAGGTGGCAAATTAGGTTGACATGCACTATTATTTTGAATGTTCTGAGATAGAAGCTGTTGGCGTGACTGGGGCTGATTAGGCAAAGAAATAGGATGTTGCGGCCCTGGATTGTGAACTTGAGGCTGCATAACAAGCCCTATTAAAAAAATAATGATTGCCCGAGTCAGAGAAACCAAAAAAAATATGATTTAGCAACACAAGAATGATATCAATGTAAAAAATTAAAAGACATAGAAGACAAAGGTAAAGGATCATATTTAAGATCAGTAGAGTAGAAACTTCAAGTATTAATGATATTTCAAAGGAATAGGACACAATATATGGTGTGCTTGGGTATGTTTTGAAAAAAGTGCTTTTATGATAAGAGTTTTTTACCGAGCCTTTTTTAGGTTTTGTGAAAAGCATGAAAATTGTTTTTTTTTTGTTGACGATTTTGCATTTTTTTAAAAACTATCTACTATAAAATAATTCAAAATTTTCAAATTTTTAAAGGACGTTTTTCTTAAAAAAGCACAAACAAGCCTATAGTCCCAACTCCCAACAGCTTAAGCTGAAAGACAAGAAACAACTCAAGAGAGTCAGATACTATCAGAACATTTTCACCATGCCAAGGTAAACGCTAACCTGGATCAGGAGGTTGATTGCTAGGGCCACCTTGATTCAATGGCATATTGTTGGCCATGGTGCCTTGGGATTTAGTCTCCATTGTAAGCATCTTCAAAGATATTTTCCGTAGATAATCAGACTGAAATTAGGGGATACCACAGTATGTTATAGATCTTCCATATTGTATGTGTTTGTATAGGTAACCTTAAATTGATCATTGCGACGATACAAATTAGAGATGTTGTACCTGGCTTGTTGCAGCAGTAAAAATCTTCTCTTCAAACCTTTGAGCAATCTTCCGAAGTTCATGCAATCCCTCTTGACCAGAAACAGGAAGATGTCTTTTTAAAGTGTCCATTCTACAAAAATGAAAAACAGAAGTTTAATAATTAAATAACACAAATCATAGAGATGTTAATGTCATTAAACAATCTGCAAATGAGAGAAGATTTGTATCATGTAAGAAGATGATAGGAAGCCTATACAAGTGTACACAAGCATGGGCCACAGAGGATCGGACACCTCCTCATGCTGACTTGTGATTGAGAGAAGATTTGGGAATTGGGAAAAGATATACAGTTGCATGGTAGAATATATATACGAGAGGGTAGGAGAATTAGAGGTGGGTGGTGTTTTAGAATTGTGGAAAACTCGGAAGAATTTGAACACTCTAGGAAGCTATTATTTTCCTTGTCTATTTTATTTTCCATTTTCATGTAGGTTCTGTTTCCATTTCATTAATATCAATATCAGGTTTCTTCTGTTGAAACTTATGTTTCTCTCAACTGCTAGGATCATTCCCATCATAAGACCTCATTGAAATCATCATGCTGCGTTCTCATAACCCGGGCCACCCAATCCCTCAACACACACACACACACTCAAAAAAATATATAGAAGAATGGATGTCTGAAATGGATTACAGAGTGCAGAGATTGGGTTGGTAACATCTTAGAAGTATGTGTGACACTGACATGCTAAAGCCCATGCATGGACTTTGAATATGATATTGAAAAATCAATATTCAGCACAGATTCAAATAAACATTTGTTTGGCAGAAAAAAGAACAGATTTTATTATTGTTCTTCACCTACCAAATGGAAATTGGAGCACAAGTTTCATAATATATATGCATTAGACAATTACAGTGTTTGTTTATGTTCTTACACCGTATATTTATTTTTCTTTCCTTGGAGAAAAAAGACCAGAAACCTCACGGAAAAGTTGCCAATCTATGGAACCAATGATTTATATCATTTTATTGTTCTTTTGATATGCATCAATGGTCAATAACTAAAAATCACATCAGTGATACAATGTTGAAACTGAAGCTCACATTTTGTTCACAATTCTTTGGCGTGACTCAGGCTGCAGTTGACCTCTCCATTCACTAGCATCCATATTGGGTTCATTGCCTTGATTAGGTCTCCAATTATTGGTATCCATCAATTCTAAATTAACTGAAACATAAAAACAGAATGTTCTTGTCAAATCAGACTCTGAAAGGTGAGCATATAAAGGGCAAATGTATCCGTAGAAGCATTAAAAAGATAATCAACAGAAATTATTGACAAGCCACAGAGCCAAACTGCCCATCCATAAAATCATGAATTAACTGTAGATTGTAACAAGATACATGCAAGAAGGAACGAGGGCAAAGTAATCCAAGGGAAAGGAGAAGCTCGAGCTGTAGTCACCATGGACAAAGGAGTGAGAAGGATCATACAATTTACACTTTATACAGGCTTTTAGTGGTTTAATACAAGCAATATTACCATTAGTATATCTTTAACACACACAAAATGTCAACCGCAAAAGAAAGGAAAAGATAATGAAGCATGAGTTTCCAGAAACTTAAGAAGATTCCACAGATTGCAATCAAACTAATAAGCATTAAAGATATTTAACAAATGGTAAACAGCATTACCCTTACAGCTTAAAACATAATTATAACGTAAATCGTTAAACCAACGCGCTCTAAATTGATTGAAGATTTCCAAAAGAAAAACCTTGAGAAGATTCCATAAACAGTCAAAGCAATAACGTAACAAAACAAATAATTTTTTTTTTTCATCAACATTTTATGACTAAGAACGCTTATTTACTGAACTTATACCTAGGATGCATCCGAAAATAATAATTCTCTTCCAAAGAATAAAATGTAAGCCGAAACTAAATCTGTTATTCAGAAATTAATTTTATTGAAAAGGACAAAATTCAAATATTGCATATATTTTTCTTCATGTTGAAAAATAATCCCTCATTTTTTCATCCTATCCAGAGTTACTCCAATTAATTTATTATTCTCCAAATTTAACTACAATGGATGATGTTCACTGTTATCATCCTTCGAAGATCTCAAGTCTTATTTCCCCTATTTACATCCCGATGATTCGAAATACACCTCTTTCCTTCTCAGCCTTTCAACTAAACATTACCAATCACAGAATCTGATATTAAGCTTTTTCTAATCAAGATCAATATCATAGAGGAACTCTATTTATTTGATAAATAAACACACAGAGATGAGAGATAACCTGAAGGTGGTGGACGGCGGTGGTGGCGTGAACGGCGGTGGCGTGTCTGAATCGGGAGCTTGCAGGTGAATTAAGGCTTAGCAATGACGCTACCGTCTAACAAGGGCTTTTAAATATGAGTAAAGAGTAAAAGGAATTTTTAGTATGTTCTTAACTCTTAAGTAACTGAGATGACAAAGTAGAAGTGTTGAACTATCTTGACTTTATATCGTGGTATGTTTTTTCTCGATAAGATATCCCTCCTGGCCTCCTAGGGCATGTTTGGATGAAAATTTCTTTCTTCAAAAGTTGTTTTTTTTTCTTGAAAAAAAATATTTCTCATTTTTAATTTGTTTGGAAAAATGTGTCTACTTTAAAAAAAAACATAAGTGTTTACCGAAGAAAAAAAGAAGCATAAGTCACAAAAAAATCAAAAATCTACTTTTTTTCAAAAGATAAAAATTTTAACTTCTAAAAAAAATATAAGTCAAAAGTCAAATATTTTTATAAAAATATAAATAAATTTAACTTTTATAAAAAATACTTCTAAAATAAAAGAAAGTTAAAAATTATTTTTTTGAGAAGGCGAAACAAACATACTCCTGGTCATACATCAAAAAGTGAGTCAACATTTATTTATTTTTGTTATTTTTCAAAAAGAATTGAACCTCACGTACTTTGTATATATGACGACGCTAATGTTCCCATTTTATATAATTTTATATATAGTTTAGAGATTCTAATTCTTTTTCTTTTTCTTCTTTCTAACAATTTTTATACAGGAGAAATATTCTTACTGTCAAAAAACTCATTACCTTTTTAATTACTATTGGAGCAAAAAGAAAGAATGCTGAAAAAAATTTGAAAAAAGAAAAAATACTAATCGAATAGTGATTATGAAGGTAGTGGGGTGATAGTGATTTTCTTAGCTGTAAGAATATCTCCTTAATTTTTATACTTTGTTTTTCTGTATAAAACTGTTTTTTTTTTTTTTTTGGTTGAATATAAAACTGTTTTTTAAAAGATTCAAATATATCAATCTTTTAAAAAAATAGTAATAATATAAAATTTACATCATAAAAATATGTAAATTTTCATTAATTAATGCACTTAAAATGATTTTGAATCCTGAGTGTATTATTTTTGGATTTTTTAATTTACTTATATTTTTAATGATAATATTATAATTTTTATTTTAATTGAGTTGTAAAGTTATTTAATACTGTATACAAAATGTTTAAGATTTTTTTTTCTGTATACAATTTTTTAAGATTTTATTTGTTAGTAACTGAATTTTATCTTATTTTAATAATTAATTTTGAAATATAGAATTTCTTTTTATCAATCCTCTGTGTGCAATTTGTATCATTAAGTTTATGTTTTCTTCCTTATATAATTTTAGTGATCTTACACTATAATTTATGAAATAATGTATAAAAAAATTCACAAGCAAAGTAAATTAAAATTAAACTCCATAAATAATATAAAAATATCAAACTAAACCAACAAAAATGGATTAGTCTTTCCAAGTATTATCTTTCAATCGAACAAATAAAAAATATTATAAAAATATGAACATGAATTAACCTTACTCAATTTATTTATTAAATTAAACAGGACAGGTCATCAAATCAAATTAATATATTTGAAAATATTATGCTTTTCCGCTTAATTTTTTTTCTAACAAACCAATTATGAAATTAAAAAAATTAGGTTTTGTCGAAAAAATAAATTTACTTAATAGATTGGTTTAATTTTAAACTTTATTAGTTTCATTGCCTATGTGATACATGGGTTTTAAAAATAAAAATGAAAAATCGCTAAATATTGAAGCTGATACTTTTTGAAGTAACGACACTCTAATGCCTAAATTAATATTTTACTTTTGAGGATAGTTTATTACAATTTCAATCGTTGTTTAGTTTTTTCCTTCATAACAATTTTATTATGGGTCATTTTCTAATTTGGTTTGGCTTTACGAATTTTTTCCTTATAACAATCTTTTCATAGGTGATTTTATAGTTCGGTTTTGTGCCATAATTTTTTCTTCTTAACAGTTTTATTATGGGCCATATTGTGGTTGGGATTCTTATCATTAAATTCATCTTTACACAACAATTTTTTTTGGTAGGATATTGTAACAACCACATCAATTAATTTCACCGTTAGATCGATTATGTTGATTCTATAATCATATTTATTTTCATCTTTGTACGGTTATGATTTTTCATATTTAATTTAAATATGAAAAATCATAAAGGTGAAAATAAATATAAAGTATTAAATATGGGGAATCATAGTCCTACAAAGATGGAAATAAATATAACCGTTGGATCAATATAATCGATCTAACGGTAAAATCGATTAATAATAATATTGGTAATAACCATAATTGGTTGTTACAATATCGTATTTTTTTTTCATAAGAATTAGACAAATTTTATAAACTTTTATTATCATGTATCCTTTGCGCATGCTTTCTGAGATTACAAATCAATTTCACTTTGGCTTTAATGTCTCTATGAAGTAAAATTATCTCTTACACACATATAAAAATATATAAGACCCTGGATCCATTTTTTTTTTCTCTCTCTCCTCTTTATTTGATCTCACATAGGTTTCACATACTTTTATGTGTGTGTAGATAAAATTTATCTCCTAAGATATGAGAAATATTACACCCTTCAATTTTTTTATTTGGCCAATTTGTTCTGTGCGTTTAACATAATTTACTAGATGTCATCTTAATTATATCATTTTAGTAATCTAATAATTTAATTAGGAAGTGATATAAAGAACATTTCGTAAATAAATTAACAGAAAAATATTTCTGCAGTTACTGCAGATAAGTTATCTGCATTTACTTTCTAAACGACGTCGTTTTGGGATTGAAATATTAAAAAATTATAATTATAAAGACTATAATAACCCTGAAATAAATTAAAATTACAAAAATATCATGATTTTCGTCCCAAAACGACGTTGTATTGAATTTACTGCAGATAACTTATATGCAGTAACTGCAGAAAAAACAAACTCATAAATTAAAATTAAACTCTAGAAATATTAAACTAAGGAAAGTGAGAAATGAACCCAAGGTAACAAACATCTTGATCCTATATTATAAATAACGATGCAATGCAATCCTCATAATTTTGTTAATTTTTCTTTTGTTTTTAATGGAGAATCGAAGAATCAGAATTAAAGTATACAGAGACATACAAATAAACAATTAAGAAAGAAAGAGCGAGAATGAAAAGGGGAAACCTGTTCAATAAATCGATGTGCAGCGAGTTCATATATCGAATGTGAAGAGAGGATGAGAGAGGGTATGAAAACCTAGAGAGAGAAAGACAAAGAGGGAATGTGAGAGAAAAAATTAGGATTATATTGGATAATTATGGACCGTTGAATTTAATTCTGATCCGACGGTGATGATATTGGTGGTAAGGGTGGTAAACTTACCTGGTGGTAAGTATAACCGTCCCCTAATTTTAGTAATCTAATAATTTAATTAGGAAGTGATATAAAGAACATTTCATAAATAAATTAATAGAGCAGTTACTGCAGATAAGTTATCTACATTTACTTTCAAAACGACGTCGTTTTGGGATTGAAATATTAAAAAATTATAATTATAAAGAGAGTTTGGTGTTTGTCATTTTAAATGATATAAGTTATGTCATTTTAGGAGAGAGATAGACATAGAAAAATGGAAATCATGAGAGAGAAAAAGTAGGTGATTTTTTTAATTTAAAATTTAAATAAAAACTTTTTTTCTGTGTATGTCTCTCTCTTAAAAGGATAGAGTGTCATGTCATTTAAAATGACAAACACTTTTCCCATATAAAGACTATAATAACCCTGAAATAAATTAAAATTACAAAAACATCATTATTTTCGTCCCAAAACGACGTCGTATTGGACTGGCTGCAAATAACTTATATGCAGTAATCGCAGAAAAAACGAACCCATAAATTAAAATTAAACTCTATAAATGTTAAACTAAACCGATAAAATGCTAACGACTTAACTCTAACTTCTATTTATAAAATTAAACAAGATTCGCCATTACGTCAAATTAATATATTTAAAATTATTTTATTTATCCATTTAATCTATTTTTCTTTTGTCTATCAAGGCAACAGTAAAATAAAAAAAAGTTTTTGCTAAAAAATAAATTTACTTAGTAAATTAGATTAATTTTCTATTTTATTAGTTTCATTACTCACGTTATGGCAAAAAAATTTAAATATTATTTTTTAATAAATATATAAACATAGTCATTTTAAATGTAAATACAAATCTATAGCACTCAAATACACCTCACAGGGGATGTGACCGGTTGGAGAGAGACATTCTTCACAGAGTGCGTGTTTTATGAGAGAGACACTCTCACAAAGGGTGTGACTCATCAGGTGCTGACACGTGGCACAAAAAGTCAATTGTTTGATTATTAAACTTTGAAAATCAATAACTTTTGACTCGAGTGTCCGAATTAGGTAAAAAAAAATTGAATAAATATCCTTTTGAATCCCTAACAACAAACACGGTCTCCACTTTAGTCCTTTATAAAAAAAATAGTCTTGAGGTCCCTAAAAAATTCAAGTGGACCCATTTTAGTCCTTTTGAGGGACTAATGTGGATTTTTTTTGTGAGGAACCTCGATTTCAACTAAATGGATCCACTTTGAATTTCTTAGGGACCTCGAGACTATTTATTTTTTGTAAGGGACTAAAGTGAGAATCGTATTTTTTGTTAAGGACCCAAAATGGTATTTACTCAAAAAAATTTATTCCACACAACTTTTCGAGCTCTACGTAATGACAACTCATTTGACATATTTTGTCTCTCACAAAAAAAGTTTAAATTTATAACAATGATACTATAAGAACGTTTAAACCCTGGTTAATAAAGAGAAAATCACTATCATGATTAGAAACATTCATAGAAAATATCTTTATGATATCATTGGTACCATAATCATAAGGATCTTTGATACAGCAGAAGAAATGGGAAATGGGAAAATAGATTAGCGAGACTTGTCTTGGATACAGCAGAAGAAAAAATAGGTAAAGGAAGGCACTTTGTGAATGTATTGGCTATCTGATGATTAGAGGAAATGGGAAAGAGACAAAGTAAGCCAGAATGA